TTGGTGATCTCGAGAAAAAGTATAGCCTCATAGCTAGTTACATATTTTATTTCACTTTCTGCTGGCTGCGGCATGTAACTTATATATTTTATATTGGCTTAGGATTATATCTGGCATAATTAACGAGATAGAAGAAAGCATCAGACAGTCAAGTTTGCTTGAAGAATTTAAGATGACTGAGCTCCCAGCGTTGCATGATAAATGTATTGAGCTGGTTCAACTCCTGGTAATCATCTTGTGGTGTTGCTATAGATTTTAGATTTTAAAGTGACAGCTGTCTAGTTTCCTAAATATATAGTAGCATATGTGGGTTCTTCTGTATATTTCAGGTTGAAGGAAGTGAAGAGCAACTCCAGGTTGAGAAAAGTGAAGAACTGCATGGTAAACTTGTAAAGGCTCTTCAGGATATCTTTGAGCTAGTAACAAATGATATGATGGTACATGGTGACAGGTTAGTGCTCGCAGTTATGGAGCCGTTGTTCTCTCTCTGTGAAGGAATGAGCAAGTTGACATAGCTTAATAATTTTTTTGTATGTTTAGGATTCTGGATTTGCTCAAGTCTCAGGAGGGGTCAGAAGAGGACACGGAAATCTTTATGAGGGTTATAGAACCACAGTTATTTGAATCTTATGGAGAACAGAGATGCATTCATTTTCCACTGCCAGATAGTCCTTCATTGAGTGAGCAGGTACCGTATGAGCATGCTGCAACATTCCACTGTTTCGATCCTGCGAAATTGCTGCTGTGTGCTGATAATCTACATTGGTTTGGCAGATCCAGCGTTTTCTGTTATTGTTAACCGTCAAAGATAGTGCAATGGACATACCAGAGAACTTAGAAGCTCGGAGGCGCATATCTTTCTTTGCTACTTCACTTTTCATGGATATGCCTGATGCTCCGAAAGTACGCAATATGATGTCATTCAGGTTTGCCTTCACGACTTTACCTTAGACAGATATTCAACATTATAACTTTATACTCAAAGTACATGCTTCGATGTTCAATTGATGACTAACACTTTGGTTGCAGTGTTTTGACACCACATTATCAGGAGGATATTAACTTTTCAACAAAGGAACTACATTCCACCAACTCTAGCGTGTCAATCATCTTTTATATGCAGAAGATTTTTCCAGGTAAGTCGCAATACGTGCTCGTTTTGATTGATGTCTGTATTCTCTTGTTCGTGTTTTAATGTATAATATTTGGGTTGTCAGATGAGTGGAAAAACTTTCTGGAGCGAATGGGATGTGATAATTTGGACTCATTAAAGAAAGAGGGTAAAGAAGAAGAGCTTCGAAGCTGGGCATCATTTCGCGGACAAACATTGAGTAGAACTGGTGAGAGAAGTAAGAATATGTGAAAATTGCCTAAGTGATCTTTATCACTCTTTAAATTAACAAATTTTTTGTTTCCATGCTTAACACAGTTCGTGGTATGATGTATTGCCGAGAAGCTCTGAAACTGCAAGCCTTCCTTGACATGGCAGATGACGAGGGTATGTCATCTTGGCTCTAGTCTTTGATCTTTGCAACTTCTGTTTTAAAACTTTTATGTGGTATATTCCAATGTAGTCTGTTTCTCCTCTAGATATTCTTGAAGGATACAATGACGTGGAACGAAGTAACAGACCTTTAGCCGCACAACTTGATGCATTAGCAGATATGAAATTCACATATGTTGTGTCTTGCCAAATGTTTGGAACCCAAAAATCAGCTGGGGATCCCCATGCGCAGGACATACTTGACCTGATGATAAAGTAAGCTTTTATTGTTATGCAAATTGTACTTGACCACAATTAGATACTTCGTTTCAGTAGCCAACGTTGTAAATGATTCCCTAAAGCACTGTTTACATGACTGTTGCACTTAGGTATCCATCTCTCCGCGTAGCATACGTTGAGGAGAGGGAAGAAATCGTGTTGGATGTTCCAAAGAAGGTTTACTACTCTATACTGGTAAAAGCTGTCAACGGTTTCGATCAGGTATCAATAACTTTTTGCCTGATAATTTGATGTGCAAGTTGAACTGTAAAATCTCTGGCACACTTTTATAGTCAATGATTAAACGTGGTTTTAACATTCTAGGAAATTTGCCGTGTCAAACTACCTGGTCCACCTAACATTGGAGAGGGGAAGCCTGAGAATCAAAATCACGCCATAGTTTTCACTCGAGGCGAAGCACTTCAGACGATCGACATGAACCAAGTAAGTTTTCTGTCTCTTGGATGTACAATTAATTAACCACCTCTGTGTCTTCTAAACTTCTGACATAAATGTTAGGATCACTACCTAGAAGAGGCTTTTAAAATGAGAAATCTCCTGCAAGAATTTCTTAGAAACCGTGGACGAAGACCTCCAACAATTCTTGGGTTAAGGGAACACATCTTCACCGGAAGGTTTGTTCCAGAAATACGTACATGCATATAAATATCGTTCTCCCTGAAACAACCAGGATATGGTCATGGTATCTCATAAGCAGGGAATTTACCGAGTTTCTGCATTGCAGTGTTTCTTCTCTAGCATGGTTCATGTCATATCAAGAAACCAGTTTTGTCACAATCGGTCAAAGGCTTCTTGCTAATCCTCTCAGGCAATAACCTCTAAGTTTCTAACCCTCAAAATCACAGTTTACCCTTGGTGCACCTAATAAGGAAACCTAATATTACTTTCACAAATTTACAGAGTCCGGTTTCACTATGGACATCCAGATGTCTTTGACAGAATTTTTCATATAACAAGGGGTGGCATCAGTAAAGCATCGAGAACAATTAATTTAAGTGAAGATGTTTTTGCCGGTACGAATTCACATATTAAGGACTTGACTCTCAGCAATTTTGTCAGGTTTACTTGTAGTTACACTCTTCCTTGTGTTCCCTAGGTTATAATACCACCCTACGACGTGGATGCATAACCTACAATGAGTACCTCCAAGTTGGAAAAGGTCGTGATGTTGGCCTCAATCAGATCTCAAAGTTTGAGGCCAAGGTGGCTAATGGAAACAGCGAGCAGACAATTAGCCGTGACATATACCGTTTAGGACAACGTTTTGATTTCTTCCGAATGTTATCTTGTTATTTCACCACCATTGGTTTCTACTTCAGCAGCTTGGTAACGTCCAAATTGGCTAAATAATAACCGTTTTATTGTTTCAGTTTTGGATGAATTCTGATTTCTGCTGACGTGTGTACAGATTTCAGTGATTGGGATATATATTTACCTCTATGGTCAACTCTACCTCGTGCTCAGTGGGTTGCAGAAGACGCTTATTCTTGAGGCCAAGGTGAAAAACATAAAGTCATTGGAAACAGCCCTCGCCTCTCAATCATTTATCCAGCTAGGTCTCTTGACCGGTCTACCAATGGTGATGGAGATTGGATTGGAGAAAGGATTTCTTATAGCCTTTCAAGATTTTATACTCATGCAGCTACAGCTTGCTGCATTCTTCTTCACTTTCTCTCTCGGAACCAAAACGCATTACTTCGGTAGAACAATTCTTCATGGAGGCGCCAAATACAGACCCACAGGGCGTAAAGTGGTGGTGTTCCATGCCAATTTCAGTGAAAATTACAGATTATATTCTCGAAGCCACTTCATCAAAGGGTTTGAGCTTATGATTCTTCTGGTCGTCTACGAGTTGTTCAAGCATACATCTCAAAGCAATATGGCTTACTCATTCATCACTTTCTCAGTGTGGTTCATGTCCCTTACATGGTTATGCGCCCCGTTTCTGTTCAACCCTTCAGGCTTTACCTGGGAAATAATAGTTGGGGATTGGAGAGACTGGAACAGGTGGATCAAAGAGCAAGGTGGGATAGGGATTCAGCAAGACAAGAGCTGGCAATCTTGGTGGAACGACGAGCAAGCTCATCTACGTGGCTCTGGTGTTGGAGCTCGTTGTTTGGAGATAATTTTGTCCCTCAGGTTCTTCGTGTATCAGTATGGTTTGGTATATCACCTTGACATTACCCAGAGCAGCACAAATATCATAGTCTACGCGCTTTCTTGGGTCGTCATTCTTGCCACATTCTTCACTGTCAAGGTAAAATCTCTCATCTCCTTTCTTCTCTGCTAGAGTATTAAAAAGATGCACAAAAACAGAACCAAAGTCAAGCTAGATTCTATCTGTTTGATCATGCAGGCCGTAGATCTAGGGAGACAACTATTCAGCACAAGAAAGCATCTCGTGTTTCGGTTCTTCAAAGTCTTCATCTTCGTGAGCATTCTAACAGTCATTATCACTCTATCAAACATCTGTCACCTCTCTGTCAAGGACCTTATAGTCTCTTGCTTAGCCTTCTTGCCCACTGGTTGGGGTCTGATTCTGGTACCAATCTTTCCCATTTCGATATACCTCTCACTGTTCAATCTAGTTTCTTACAGCATCCCCTAAAAAACTCGATGCAGATTGCACAAGCTGTTAGGCCAAAAATAGAAGGAACGAGCTTGTGGGAGTTCGCACAGGTTCTTGCTAGAGCTTATGATTATGGAATGGGTGTTGTTCTGTTTGCACCAATGGCTATCTTAGCATGGCTTCCAATCATTTCTGCGTTTCAGACACGCTTTCTCTTCAACGAAGCTTTTAACAGAAGGCTTCAAATTCAACCTATTCTTGCAGGGAAGAAGAAGAATAGATAAGATATGCCTCGTTTCTTTCTTCCACTCCTCTGCTTTGTACATCTTGTAACTACAGTATTTCACTTGTTATATTTATTCTGTACAAAAAATCCGGTTCATACTAAAATATTCCATTGGTGTTCAATATAATTGTGTACATTTAAACCGCTCCGAACCAAATTGGAATTCTAATTGCTACAACTGAAAGCGAGTCAAATTTTTCGGTATATTCCTTTAAACCGAAACTAAACCACAATTTAATCAAAAACTTTCTGAACCGAAATATCTCAATACTAAACCACTTGGTTTAATTTATTCTTGAAACGCTTTTGTTTCGAAGTCATATTTAAACAGTTCGTAGCTATTGTAGCATCGAATTCAAACAATGATTCTTCGGAGGCTTGTTCTGTCTGCAGCATCGACTTCAAATCCCAGAATAAGCCAATCACTTTCATCTTCTGCTATTCTTCTTCTCTCATCTTTATCTTCAGATAGATATGCGTCGTCGCCGCAACGATACTCTGGTGAAGATAAACTCGCCAGGCTAAAGCACAAGGACTGGCTAGCCCCAAACGAGGTTTTGAAGATCTTTGAAAATGTCAAAGAGCCGAGCTTTCTGATACCGGCTTACCAGCATTACTCTAAACGTAAAGATTATCAACCAACGGAACCTCTCTACGCCCTTCTGATCAACAAGTTCGGACAAGCTAAGATGTTCGACGAAATAGAAGAAGTAATGAGAATTGTAAAGCTTGAGAAAAGATGTCGTTTCTCGGAGGAGTTCTTTTACAATCTGATGAGAATTTACGGGAATTTAGGCGGTAGAATCAACCGAGCGATCGAGATTTTGTTCAGTATGCCGGATTTTGGATGCTGGCCAAGTCCTAAAAGTTTCAACTTCATTTTGAATCTACTTGTTTCCGCGAAGCTGTTCGATGAGATTCATAAGATATTCGTGAGTGCCCCTAAGCTAGGTGTTGAAATAGATGCTTGTTGTATGAATATACTCATCAAAGGACTGTGTGAGAGTGGGAACTTGGAAGCTGCACTCCAACTGCTCGACGAATTTCCTAAACAAAAATCACGGCCTAATGTGATGACGTTTTCTCCTCTAATCCGTGGTTTCTGCAACAAGGGAAAGTTCGCAGAAGCTTTTGAGTTGTTGGAGAGGATGGAGAAGGAGCGAATCGAACCAGACACGATCACGTTTAACATTTTGATTTCAGGGCTTAGGAAGAAAGGCAGGGTTGAAGAAGGGATTCAACTTTTGGAGAGAATGAAGCTAAAGGGGTGTCAACCAAACCCTGGGACTTATCAGGAGGTACTCTATGGTCTCTTGGATAAAAAGAGGAACTTGGAAGCTAAAGAGATGATGAGTCAGATGATTTCATGGGGTATGAGACCCAGTTTTCTGTCGTACAAAAAGATGGTTCTGGGGCTCTGTGAAACGAAGTCAGTTGCGGAATTGGACTGGGTTTTGAGGCAAATGGTGAATCATGGTTTTGTTCCAAAAACAGGGATGTGGTGGAAAGTTGGTAATTGTGTAATTTCGAAGACTAATGACTCGCAAGAAATTTTGAATCTCGTTACTTGCCAAGACAATCCTGAATAAGGTTGTATGCATTCCGCTGTATTGTTGGAAAGATGGAAAATGCTATGCACAAAAGCTGTTTCTTCTTCGAGTGGAAGAAAATGGAAGAAGCAAGACAGAGACTCAAAACTCAAAAGCTGTACAAGAATCCTTTGGCGTATCTACAACTAACATCCTCAAGCTTTTGATTATTTACATATGATTCCCTTTCGATCCTTCGGTGTTCTTGGGGGTGGCAAAAGAGCTCCTGGCACCACTATATGTAGTTTCCACCACTATATGTAGTTTCCAAGTTTGCTAAATTTACCTTTGTTTCTTTGTTCTTGAAATGTTCGCATCGCCTTGGGAATCTTCTTTGGAGTTTCCTGATGTATTTATATGATCATTTTCACCTGCTTTGACAATTTTTCCTTCAGATTTTGCTGCTCTTGGTGTCCCCAGGTCTTGCACACTGCTAAATGTAGCTTCATCATCAGAATATTCACATTGACCTTCAGAGTCATACACAGACTTGGATTCAGGAATTATATCTTGCTCTGAAACAGTTGAACACTCATCTCTTGATTTCCTTGATCCTTTAAGCGAAAAGGCATACTTAATGTGTCTTGCAGACTTTTCAGCATGTTTTAGAATGCTCTTTGCAACATCCTTCATGTGTCCCTTGTGCTGACTATCTTCAGAACCAAAGCTCTCACCTTTTGGACTTCTTCCTGTAAGAGGTCCCGATAGACTGTCTTCAACAATGAACTTAACCCCAACATCCTTTTGATCCAACGCCTTCAAATTTATTCGAGGAGACCTGATATCCTCCTCGATGTTCCCTGTATGATGACATTCTTCTTTTTTGCCATTCCTATGAAACACTGAACCGATTTTCTTCAATCCCCGACCAAGAGACTTCATCGTGCTCTTTCCTTCCTGATTTTCATCAGTGCTACTACTTTCATTGTTGGGCGATGTAGATGCAGTGGAACGGACACTGCCAGCACCCTGTATTTGATTATCGAGGCATCGACTCTTGCCTTTTCTTGGTTCCCAAATCTGTGAGACTTCAGTTCCTGGTTGGTGTACCCAGATTCCAGTCTCTTCTTGTCCTTCAATGTTAATTGGTTCCATATTATCAGGAACCCTTGGAGACTTATCAGATACCACTGATGAGAAGGAACCTTTATTTGTAATGTCGGAAGCAAAAGAAGCCCACATGTCTTCCTTACTTATTGTCACTCCTTCAAACGGATCATCGTTCAACTGTAAGAGAGAGATATCAATTTGCAAATTGCATAAGAATTAATCATGGAAGCTCTATATTAAGGGAACTGACAAGAATCTCAATCTACCTTTGCCTCATCCTCAAGTACGGTTATCGCAAGATGCAGCCTCCCCATTTTAATGTTCTGAAGAGGCAACCACATATCATTTCTTTGGCCGCCTCGAAACTCTGCAATGTTAACTGAACAAACGCCAAGACTATCATCGCTAAACCGGTCCTTGTCTTGAACTTCAATGTTAAGAACATTTGGGGAGTCCCATGTGCAGATTGGTATCTTGAACTCTTCTTGCCATTTGGGGGCCAAAGTTTTCCATAGAATCTTGGTTTTGAATCTGTATGCGCCAAGCTGCCCTTTCACATAAGGATCAGCTAAACCTGAAGCATCCAGATCCGAGCAGTTCATAAAATATAGTTCCAACTACTAAAGTGGAGGAAGATAACTTCAGGTGAATTCCAGACTAACCATTTAGATCTGATGGTTTAACATCAGATGCTTCAACGACTTCAACAAGAACATGTGCTATTGGTTCTTTCTCATCAACAAAGAACCAATTCTCTGGAACGAACACAGACAAAAAAAAAGGTAAACATATGGACTGAATAATAAAGGTTTGAGAATTTTGAGAAGTACAAGATAGTTACCTCCTGACTGTGGGCTAACAAATTTCTCCATATCAACTACCAGCATATTTGGCTGCAAATTAGAGACAAACCTCATTTAGCTGGGGTGATTGTAATGACAATGTTTTCTTAACTACAAGAGGGGAATTAAGAAGCTTACCTCAACAAGAGTCTGCTCAAATGCAACAGACAAAAGTTTGTCCTGATTGAGAAAGAAAGAAAAAGCTCAGAAGAGCTAGAGAGGAGTATTGGACACTATTTAAGTTTACAAGCTTATCAGGCGTCAATACTTACTAGCCATCCTGCAATCCCTGGAAGCACAGCAACATCAAGTCCATGAGTAGAAATTGGTTTAACAGTCATTTGGAAATAAGGTGGCTCTGCAAAGCACACACGTAAACGCCCCAGAAAAGGCCATCGACGAAGGAACTTCACTCCAATCAACACCTTCACGAGTTCAAGGTATACAATATGAAGCAAAGCACTTCATTTAAGAGAGCGTTCCCGAGTATGTGAATTCACTACAGATAAGAAAATCCACTACCTTTCCTTCGACATGCATTCCTGTCAAATGCAACTTAGTCCACATTCCAAACCCAAGTCTTTTTCTTAGTTTCACAGCTAGTATTGCGCTCATATCATCTGCTGTTAGAAAATTCATTCCAAGTTCCAGCACCTGTATACACTCTCATAATAAGTTCCACTTCCTCTATAAATATTACACACCAGATGTCACTGCAGTAATCTACGAGGGTTATAAAGTTTTGCAACTATACCAAGTGATCATCACCAGTAGATTGCCGAAGAACCCTTATATCTGTCAACAGAGGCGGGTTTCTTCCCAAATAGAGGTGTTGTATCACCGCTTCTTTCTGCAGAAATGATCATTACCATCAATAATAATAAGTTGCTTTTTCGACTGTAAACTGTGATGCAGTAAGTGGCCTTAGAACCCAAAGTAGTATTCCAAAAGTCTAAACTATACACAATAAGAAAGCGAAAAGACTCAAAAAGAGACATCTACACAGAAAACAGAGAAACAAAGTTGTATGGTTTTACCGCAGTCCAAGGTCTATACTTGTCCAAGAACCAAGGTATGATCGGACGCAGAATCTTCTGAGATGCAATCTGTTCCATACAAATAGGCCATATCTTCTCCATAGCATGATTCAACCACCTCACTGACTCAGAATCAGATAGGACCTAAAAAATTGTATTAATAAAACCAACAAGAAAGGATCACCATTTAATACAAAAGAAAGCTAATTAAAGCCAGTATCTTCCAACACAAGATTGAGAGGCCTAGAACTCAAAAAGTCAAAACTCGTGTCTGCACTAGAAATAGGAAACAAAAAAGCAACTTGAACATCAATTCATTATCTCTAAGGAAGGAAAATGTAACAATTACACGTCTCTGGTTGGCTTGCTTCCTCTCTTCAAACTGCAATTTCCTCCTCAATATGATCACATACCGTTCATGAACCTAAAAAGAAACCAACCAGTATGTATACAAACACATCAATCTCTTCATCAAGGAGGGAGAAGTCAACTTGAAAGAGAACCAAAAGGAAAAATTACCAGGTAGAGATAAATGAGAGCGAGGAAATAGAAAAAGGCGTGTGATCGATTCAAGTAAGATAGAACCCAAAGGAACAGTAGCACAATCACCACGTGATGGATAACAGAACACTCCATTATTATTATCAACTACTCCAAAAGATTCTTGCTTCTCTTTTCAAACACCAATCTCATGAAACCAAACCATACGAATCGAGTCCGAACTTCATGTGTGTTGTTGTTGCCTGTTGAGTTCAAGTTAAAAGATGAAAGAAACAAACGAAAACAGGTGATTGCAGATTCTTTTGTTTGTTTCCGTTATGGAGGATTGATTTTGGTTAAGTAGACAAGATGGAAGAAGACAGAGCCAAAGAGAAAGTGACAGGGACAAAGCAAAAAAAAAAAAAAAAAACGTTCGATCTATACAAACTCTTCCTTGAGGCGATTTGCTCTGTTTTCTTCCGCGAAGACAAAACAACCAAACGATGTCGTTTTTGTCCGAGAAAAAAACATCTTCGAAAAAGGAAACGCGTCAACCGCCTGAAAGAGTGCAAACGTGTCAGACACGTGTGAGCAGACACCAAATCTGTGTATGTCCTACTCCCATCTCATTTGATCTGATCCGACGGCTTACAATTTCATATGATTCCATATAATCTCAGCATTTCCTAATTTTATTAGGCATGCACATTATTATTACCATTTGCATTAATATTACTGAAATCCATATTCCACTAAAATGGTCAACAAATAATTTTGTTTGTTTCCACAATTGTTATGTAAACCAAGTGGGATATATTTATTCTTCACCTGCCTATAATTGTGTATCTCTCTGTATCTAATATAGTATTTATGAAGGTAACGGTGGTTGGATGTAGTTATCTTAATAAAGAATCTATTACTAGTGGAAGGTAAAGTGTCAATTAAATTAAGAAATCCATTACTGTGTTTGTGAGACTCTGACCTGCTCCAAAAACACGTAAATATGTTTAAACGATGGTTAATATAATAATATCTACTTTAATCATACAATGAATTGAACATTATAAAAAATATAGTTTGCGTCGGTGCTTTTGTATTTAAAAAATAATTAGAAGAAATCAGTCTTTCCCCTGGGATTACGCATAACTTTAATAGGAAATTCTGGTTGGAAAATTTTTAACGTAACCACAGAAAAAGCCACGTGGCACATGCACCTTCCTAAAATACGAAACTTTAAAGTTTAAGAAGAAATTAAAAAAACGAAGATATCTTTGGTTCTTCACCACCTCTTCACACAGATCCAAATCAGAGGAGGAAAGATCTGTTTTTTTTTTTTTGATCTGTGGAGAGAGAGAGATGACGAGCGGCGGCGTGGAGAACGATAAGAACAGATCAGTGGCGACGGATCATCAACAGCCTCATCCTCCTCCTCCGTTTCAAGGTGTCTCTAACTATCCACCTCCGCCTCAGCAGCAGCCTCCGGCCACCGGTTTTCCTCAGCCGGCTCAGCCCTACGTTCAAGGTGAGTTTCTTCCTCGTCTCTCATTATCAAGGTAGCTCTCATTATCCGTGGGTATAATAAAAGTTTCATTTTTTGTTCCGCTTGATCTGTTATTCTATTGATGGCTCTTTTTTTTTGTGAGTTTTGTTTTGATTCTTCGCAATGGATTAGAATCTGACTCTTGGATATTTCGTAGTGTTTTATTGTATTCTAACCTGATATAGTAATTAAAAGAGAATCTTTCTATCGCCCTCTTCCTGTTTCGAAATGTACTTTGAGATGAAGAACATGTCAAATCATTTATTGCCACGCTCATCTCTATGCAGGTCTAAAAGCTCGTTTTTGGTATCTCTATTTTTCATCAGCTAATCAATAGTCTTGTTGGTCGCAGGTTATGCTGTTAATGGAGGAATGACTACAGCAGAACACCATCGCCTTCCTTGTTGTGGTATAGGCGTTGGCTGGGTATTGTAAGTGGTCTTCATCATTTTACCTAAGTTCTATCTTCTCACTACATTCTTGTCAGTTTCTGAGGTGACCACAGGCCACATATTGTAAGTTTTATGTTTCTTTTATTTTTGTTTCTTGTGAAGATTCATCCTTGGTTTCTTCTTTGGTGCGATCCCCTGGTACATCGGATTCTTCCTTCTATTGTTCTCAAGAAACGTGCGTGAGAGACCAGGGTATATAGCTTGCGCTGTTGGAGTAAGTCAGCTTTTAATCATATCTCTCACTCTAACATTTTCAACATTTTGCTTGTCCTGGTCATGCTAAATCAGTTCTGACTTAACCCATGTCGCAGTCTGTTGTTGCGACCATTATCATAGTCATTGGAGCAGTAAGAGGATCAAGAGTGTGGTCCTGAAGTGAAGATGTCAGCACTCTGAATCAAGTGTCTACCGGTTAGGCCGTTAAGATATTTAGTACAGAAGAAGTTTGTAAATGTGTGTTTTACTTTTGAAGAGCTCAATGACTATAGTCATTGTATATGTTGCTCTTTTAAAAGTGTTCTTCTTAAAAAAAATACTAATGTGTGAATTACCCGGGAAAAAAAACTATATATATAAAGATGATCATTTGTTTAGAAGTTATGGATTCAAATCGACAATATGAATTCAAAATCAATAAACTCCAATTCTGATAGAACAAAATATCAAATTTATACAATGTTAGACTTCTAGTAATTTCAAACTAATTGCTGCAAATAGTCGTTTTGTGGCAGTGAGATGAAAATATATATTGTTGAAGGGCCGAGTATAAAAGGAAAAGCCCAGAGAGATGGCCTAGGGTTTGTCCTAGAGAACCTGTTTTATAGTTTTTTCTTCGGCGCCACCGTTTCAGCTCTTGCTCTCTGTTTCCTTTTAGCTGATTTCGTCGGAGATTGATCTCGTTCTAGAAATGGGTGCTTTCCGGGTAAGTTCATTCTCACGATTGAGTTACCTGAGCTACAAGTGATTCTGGGATTTGGTGGTTTGATGACTGATTGGAGAATCATCAGCTGTGCTCTTGGTCGAGATAATTAGTCATAGGGATAAATAGGTTCTGATGCGTTTAGAAAGTATGAAACTTTTTTAATAGGTATCCGTTGGTTCTGATGTTTTGATTTCCGACCCGAGGAAGTAGACTGCATTAGTTTCTGGATGGGGGTTGATCCGTGTGATAGATTTTTAGCTTCGTTAGCTATCCTTAATCCCAATATTGGTGTTTTTTTAATGATTTTCTTAAACTGTTTGGTGCTGTTTTACGAAAGCTAATCTCTCTTTTTGTTTAATAGCTAATTGCATCAATGTACATTGCAGTTTCACCAGTATCAAGTGGTTGGGAGAGCTCTTCCGACAGAGAAAGATGAGCACCCTAAGATCTACAGGATGAAGCTATGGGGCACAAATGAAGTATGCGCCAAGTCCAAGTTTTGGTTAGTTATACAATGTTCTGTTTGGTACCAGTTTCTTGATGGAAATACTGTATTTTCTTGTTTATTCCTTGATCTAAATATATTTTTTTGATGTATCTAGGTACTTCATGAGGAAACTGAAGAAGGTGAAGAAAAGCAACGGGCAGATGCTTGCCATCAATGAGGTATGGATTGCATTTCCCAGCTGAATATCTGAGATATGCTGAAAGGTGGGTACTTTTATATGACCTTATTCTTCTACTATTGTAGATTTTCGAGAAGAACCCGACGACGATCAAGAATTATGGTATCTGGCTGCGTTATCAGAGCCGAACTGGGTACCATAACATGTACAAGGAGTACCGTGACACAACACTCAATGGTGCAGTGGAGCAGATGTACACTGAGATGGCTTCTCGTCATAGAGTGAGGTTCCCATGCATTCAGATCATAAAGACTGCAACAGTCCCTGCAAAGCTGTGCAAGAGAGAGAGCACCAAACAGTTCCACAACTCCAAGATCAAGTTCCCTCTTGTTTTCAGAAAGGTCAGACCACCAAGCAGGAAGCTCAAGACTACATACAAGGCATCAAAGCCCAACCTCTTCATGTAAAACCAATCTTACATCCATATCTTTATCAACCAACAGATTAGGGCTCTAGCAGTAAGTCTGAACAAAACACCATTTTGTAGTTCTTCACTTGAAGTCTTAAAATTTGCATCTTCTGAACTTTTTTGTTCTAGATATAATACGATATTCAGTTCACTCGTTTCCAGTTTTCACCAATTTTCAAAGTTTTGCAGCTTTAATGTAATACTCCAGTTTTTACCAATTTATATCTTAGTTAGGGTGGTTGGAGAGTTAACTGTGCATAAATTCATAATCTCCAATGATCATAAATCAGTCTACTTTTAGAAGCAAATAAGCAATCCTCAGCCTGGTCTATGCAAATGGGAGCTTTGTCATGCGGCACTTACACGCTTACCCTACACCTGCAACTAGTGTTGATTGCTCTTCTATAATTGGCAATCTTCATCGACTTTGGCAATACTCATCAACTTTCAAAGTTTTGCTACCTGAGATAACTTTGCGGAAAGTAGAGAGCAATTTTTATTCGACAAGCTCAGTGGATCACTTTTCAAGATTTATCGATTAAAAAATTGACAGTGGATAAGAGCAGATGGGCACGACAACGACAAATACAGACAAAGCCCCTATCCGGCAAAGGATTTGGACTGTAAATGATAGATCAAAAGTCTCAATCTTTGTAAAGACCCACGAAAACTTGCGGACTCCAGAGTGAGTGTGAGGATTGGAGATGTCTTTTTCATTAGTAGCAGCTTCAGCGGTGGTTGTAGCAGCAGTGGTACTGTGGACATGGCGGATCGTGCAGTGGGTCTGGATAAAACCGAAGATGCTTGAGAGTTGCCTGAGAAGACAGGGTCTTAGCGGAACTCCTTACACGCCTTTCGTCGGAGATATTAAGAGGAACGTTGATATGATGATGGAGGCTAGATCTAAACCCATCAAGGTAACGGATGATATCACCCCACGTCTCCTTCCTCTCACCTTGAAGATGCTCAATTCTCACGGTATACTGTCTCCCCTTGAGAGATCCGTAGGACACTTTGCTGATTGTGCTTAAGTTGGGAACTGAATTGTGTAGAATTCAGTTTGAGTTGATATCTGTTAGGTTCATTGTTGGTGCTTGATTGAGTTATGTTGGTGGAACAGGAAAGACTTTCTTCATATGGATTGGACCAATTCCGACGATTGTGATAACGAATCCTGAGCAGATTAAGGAAATCTTTAATAAAGTTTACGACTTTGAGAAAGCTTCTACATTCCCTCTGATCAGATTGTTAGCAGGCGGGCTGGCGAGTTACAAGGGAGATAAATGGGCGAGTCACAGGAGGATCATCAACCCGGCTTTTCACCTCGAGAAGATTAAGGTATTGGTTCTCTGCTGTCTGCACAAGTTAGACTGTAATATGTTTGATCTTATAGTGAACTTTTTTTCGGTTACAGAACATGGTCCCTGCGTTCTACCATTGTTGCAGCGAGGTTGTCTGCCAATGGGAGAAGCTATTTACAGATAAAGAATTGCCTCTTGAAGTTGATGTTTGGCCTTGGCTTGTGAATATGACTGCGGATGTGATCTCACATACTGCTTTTGGAAGCAGCTATAAAGAAGGGCAGAAAATATTCCAACTACAAGGGGAATTGGCTGAGCTCATCGCACAAGCTTTTAAGAAATCTTACATCCCTGGATCGAGGTAATCCACAACCTCTGTTGTCTTTTTCCTGTCACAAACCAAAGATTTTGAGAATTTGTTGTTTGGTCTAGGTTTTACCCAACAAAGAGCAATAGAAGGATGAAAGCAATAGATAGAGAAGTAGACGTAATACTGAGAGGTATTGTGAGCAAACGGGAGAAAGCAAGAGAAGCTGGAGAACCTGCAAACGATGATTTGTTGGGGATACTGCTTGAATCAAGTTCAAAGGAATCTCAAGGAAATGGAATGACCGTAGAGGAAGTGATGAAAGAGTGCAAGTTGTTTTATTTTGCAGGACAAGAGACAACTTCAGTACTGTTGGTCTGGACTATGGTTTTATTAAGCCATCACCAAGACTGGCAAGATCGCGCACGAGAGGAAGTGAGGCAAGTACTCGGTGAAAATAATAAACCTGATATGGAGTCCCTTAACAACCTTAAAGTCGTAAGTAAAAAACACACAACTTTCACCATCCTCTTTGATCGTAAAACTGCATTTATATAGTTTACCAAAGTCACTTAAATTTGAATTGGATTTTCCTTTTAATGGATTTTCAACAGATGACCATGATCTTCTATGAGGTTTTGAGGCTATACCCTCCGGTGGCTCAACTTAAACGAGCTGTCAACAAAGAAATGAAGCTAGGCGAGCTTACCCTTCCAGCTGGAGTTCAGGTTTATTTACCAACTATTCTTGTCCAGCGCGACATCGAGTTTTGGGGTGATGATGCAGCGGATTTTAAACCCGAGCGGTTCAGAGACGGGCTCTCAAAGGCAACAAAGAACCAGGTCTCCTTCTTTCCCTTTGGGTGGGGACCGAGGATTTGCATCGGTCAGAATTTTGCTATGTTGGAGGCAAAGATGGCAATGGCTTTGATTCTGCAGAGATTTTCCTTCGAACTCTCTCCTTCTTATGTTCACGCGCCTCAGACAGTCATGACCACTCGTCCTCAATTCGGAGCTCATCTCATCTTGCACAAACTCTGATATTTGAATTTCTAAAGTGATGTCACCAAAAGTCTCTGTTCTGTAAAAAATATATGTCATAGAAAGGCTTATAGCCATAGCTTCCGAATCTTTGAATTTCTATGTCTGAAACAAATAGTTATTAGCTAAGGTAAAAGTTACTAGTTATTAGTTATTAGTCATGAATTTCTAGTATGAGGTCGTTTTCTATGGTGGCTGCTTTATTATTCACAACTTGTGCAAGAAGTGAGAACCCAATTCCAATTCTAATACAAAGAAGGCAATTTCAATTCGTTCTAGTCTTTTGGATAAGTCAATCGTTTTTAATTTCATAGGAACCATAGACAAGGAAAACCAGAAAACTTGAGCAAAACATATAAAAACGTGTTTCTAGGACATGGAATTAGACAATCTAGAACATTCATTGAATCTTCTTGTGCCTGACACTTTATTGACTTGACACATACGTAAACGAACATGAATCTCTATATCTATATATACAAAACATTTCATTTAGTAACTCCAATTCAGAACAAAAAAAAAGGAATAAATATCGAACAAATTTCGAAAAGAAGTGCATCTATGAGTGATACAGAGATGTCAGCGGTAGCAGTCGCGGCTGCGATTGTGGTGGTAACTGCGGTTGCGGTATGGATATGGAAAGGCCTGAATATGGCTTGGCTTAGACCAAAGAACCAAGAGGCTTGTCTAAAGAGACAGGGTCTCTCTGGAACCCCTTTCACCTTTCTTGTCGGAGACGCTAGAAGGGAAGCCAGTATGGTGGAGCAAGCAAAGTCTAGACCCATCAGTCTTACCGACGATTACATGCCACGTATCATTCCTCTGATATTACAGACCGTTAAGGATCATGGTAAGAAACAGTTTTGATTTCAGCGCAAAAACAGAGATCCTCTGTTTTTTCAGTTTATGGGTTGGTTAATGTTGATATACTCTGTTTCTATGGTCGGTTTTTGTTTAGGGAAGACAACTTACATGTGGATGGGACCTAAAGCGAGTGTGATTGTGACGAAACTAGAACACATCAAAGAAGTTCTAAACAGAGTTTACGATTTCCCAAAGCCACCAAAGCACCCAGTCGTTGAGCTTTTTGCTACTGGCGTCGCACTGTGTGACGGAGAGAAATGGTCTAAGCATAGGAAGATAATAAACCCTTCTTTTCATCTAGAGAAGCTCAAGGTCTTTCTTACATCAATTCTCTTGCCTTTTGATAAATCATATGTTGATTTTGCCTTTTGTTTGCTTTGCAGGTTATGACACCTGCCTTCTACGAGAGCTGCAGTGAGATGACAAGTAAATGGGAGAGATTGGTGAGCGAGCAGGGCTCATCGAATGAGATTGATATTTGGCCATACCTTTGTGATGTAACATCAGATGTCATTTCGCGTACTGCGTTTGGTAGTAGCTACGAGGAAGGTAACAGAATCTTTGAGCTTCAAGAAGAACAAGGCCGGCGACTTTTAAAAGCTCTTGAGCTGGCTTTTATCCCTGGATTGAGGTAGATTAAGATGACATTTCGGTGTTTCTTTCATTCAATTTGCAATATAGAAATCTGGAAAGATCATCTCGTTCTTCTCATTGTTTAGGTTCCTACCAACAAAGAACAACATGAGGATGTGGCAGATAGATAGGGAAGTTAGGTCTAGACTGAAAGAGATCATCATGAAAAGACAGAGAGCTATGGTATCTGGGGAGGCTCCAAAGAATGATCTGTTGGGGATACTTTTGGAATCTAATTCGGGAGATCACGGTATGAGTATTGAAGATGTGATCGAAGAGTGCAGGCTGTTTCACTTCGCGGGCCACGAAACCACCGCGGTGCTGCTCGTCTGGACCATGATTATGCTGAGCCATCACAAGCAATGGCAAGATCAAGCTAGAGAAGAGATCTTAGAAGTCATTGGGAAGACCAACAAACCTAACTTTGATACACTCTCTCGACTCAAAATAGTAAATGCATTAATAAGCTATAACCATAGGATTTTTAGGCCAAAAACTCAGACTAACGTTTTCTCGGAACTTTTGTTTCTTGACAGATGAGCATGATCGTTAACGAGGTGTTGAGGCTATACCCACCAGGGAAACTACTTGGTCGAACAATAGAGAAAGAAACAAAGCTTGGTGAGGACATGACACTTCCAGGTGGTGCACAAGTAGTGATTCCTGTTCTTATGATTCATCGTGATCCCGAGCTCTGGGGAGAAGATGCTCATGAGTTTAAGCCCGAAAGGTTCTCTGAAGGGATCTCAAAGGCCACGAAGAACCAAGTCTCGTATCTTCCGTTTGGATGGGGACCAAGATTCTGTCCTGGCCAGAACTTTGCTCTGATGGAAGCTAAGATGGCTCTTGTCTTGATTATGCAGAGATTCTCCTTCGAACTGTCACCTTCGTACACTCACGCCCCTCACATGGTTCTCACACTTCACCCTCAGTTTGGTGCTCCGTTGATCTTCCACATGCTCTGAGATCGATTCACATTATAGTACACAAGATTTCTAAAATTCTCTGTTTTTGTTTTACCCTTAAATCAAGATTCTAAGATATAGTAGCATATGTAATCCTACAGATGAAAATGATTATTTATGAGGTCCTTAGGCTATATCCTCCAGTAATCCAGATAAAACGAGTTATCCACAAAGATATAAAGCTAGGTGATGTGACATTACCAGGGGGTGTTCAAGTCGATATGCATGTTCTCCTAATCCACCGCGACACTAAGCTTTGGGGCGATGATGCAGCAGAGTTCAAGCCGGAGAAATTCAAAGAAGGGATCTCAAAGGCAACAAAGAACCAGGCCTGCTTCTTGCCTTTTGGATGGGGACCAAGGATTTGCATCGGTCAGAATTTTTGCTGTTGGAGGCAAAGATGGCTCTGGCTTTGATTCTTAATTCGGAGATTCTCCTTCGAGCTTTCACCTTCTTATGTGCATTCTCCTTATAGAGTCTTCACCATACATCCACAGTGTGGGGCTCATCTTATCCTGCACAAGCTATGATACTCTATACCTCCATGTCATGTTTTCAAATGTAACTTGTTATACATAGAGGAAACAAGTTTTCAAAGACGAATCAATTCAAGATCATAATCATGTAAACCATGTTTTGAGTTGAGAATGCTTCCCTAATAACAACTAATGCATCTTTCTCGAGTATTATAAATACACATTCATCTCTATAAACCGCCAGATAAATTTTCATATACATTAAAAATTTGTGGAAAAAAAACATATCAAATCTGTAATTCCATAAAATCATGTTGTTGTTAATTAAAGAATGGAAGCAAAATCCAAGATCATAATACCAAAAAATCAAAATCAAAAATTTTATTAATTGGATTCAGAATGTGTCTTACATATTAAAACCCCAAATATTTGTCCAGTGATGGTTCTTGTTTTTACTTTATGTCTTTGACAAAACAAGATATTTCTTTTCTCTTAGAACGAGACAAAACTAGATATTTCAAAGCATGAACAGTAAACGCATGGACGAATGTTTGGTATATCTCTTCCTCTTTTGTTGATTTTCACAAGAAGTCCAAATTAGTTTGCTTCTTCCCTCTTCCTCATCTGTGAATGTGAGGCTCTCAATAAGTCCGTCAAGTCACTATACAATAATTGTATTTAAGACATCAGGGATGATGTCACCACGACATCTACATCTGCATCTTCTCCGAAATTCTCAAAACTTTTATGTATCCTGAAAATAGTCGCAGTTACTCTACCTCTCTCTCTCTTTCTCTAGTAGAGAAAATGGAAATATCAGTTGTATCGGTAACAGTTTCAGTAGTTGTAGTTGTTGTGTCACTGTGGGTATGGAGAACTTTACAGTGGGTTTGGTTTAAACCAAAGATGATTGAAGGTTACCTGAGAAGACAAGGTCTTGCCGGAACTCCTTACACGCCTCTTGTCGGTGATTTAAAGCGGCATTTCGCCATGTTGGCTGAGGCAAAATCCAAACCCTTCAAACTAACGGATGATACTACAACTCGTGTCGTGCCTTATCCCTTGCAAATGCTCAAGACTCACGGTATGCTTTCTAGTTGGCTTCTTGATTCCTCTCTGTTTAGCTTGGAACTGTAGTTGAAAATGTTTCAACTTTTGTATCTCTATGTGGCTGAAACAGGGAGAACTTTCTTTACATGGCTTGGACACATACCAACCATCACCATAATGGATCCTGAGCAAATCAAGGAAGTTTTCAACAAAGCTTACGACTTCCAGAAGGCGCATACGTTTCCTTTGGGCAGATTATTAGCGGCTGGACTAGTTAGTTATGATGGTGATAAATGGGCAAAACACCGAAGAATCATCAACCCAGCTTTCAACCTTGAGAAGATCAAGGTTTAAAAGCTATATCTTCCGTAGTCCAGCTGCTTTATGTATGTACGTCCAGTTGGTTCTAACCCAATTTGTGCCTTCTGCTTCTATGTATAGAATATGGTACCTGCGTTCCACCAGAGCTGCAGCGATATTGTTGGCGAATGGGACAAGTTAGTGTCGGATAAAGGGTCTTCCTGTGAGGTAGACGTTTGGCCTGGGCTTGTGAGTATGACTGCAGATGTGATCTCCCGTACTGCTTTTGGCAGTAGCTACAAAGAAGGACAGAGGATATTTGAGCTCCAAGCAGAACTAGCACAGCTCATCATTCAAGCTTTTCGGAAAGCTTTCATCCCTGGATACAGGTAATGAGAAACTACAACTTGTCTGGTTTTATTATAGAGCTTGAGTAGCGTTGCTTATCTAGAGGAGATTTTGAACCATGTTGTGTCATTTCTCTATGTCTGCCTGTCCATGTAGTTATCTCCCTACAAAGGGTAATAGAAGGATGAGCGCAGCAGCTAGAGAAATCAAAGTTATACTGAGAGGGATCATTAACAAAAGGTTAAGGGGGAGAGAAGCTGGCGAAGCACCCACCGACGATTTGCTGGGTATACTTCTTGAATCGAATCTGGGGCAAACGAAAGGCAATGGAATGAGTACCGATGAACTGATGGAGGAGTGCAAGTTGTTCTATTTCGCTGGGCAAGAGACTACATCAGTACTTCTGGTTTGGACAATGATTCTGTTAAGCCAACACCAAGACTGGCAGGCTCATGCACGAGACGAAGTGAAGAAAGTCTTTGGCGATAAAGAACCTGATGCAGAAGGGCTGAACCAGCTCAAAGTTGTAAGTAAACAAACTGACCCAAAAACTTTCAGGTGAGTTGAGTACTTTTGCTGTGTATTTGATGACTTAAGCTAAATGATTTGATCCTTGCAGATGAATATGATACTTTACGAGGTCCTCAGGCTATATCCTCCAGTAATCCAGCTGACCCGAGCCATTCAAAAAGAGATGAAGCTAGGCGAGCTGACAATCCCAAGCGGTGTTCAGATCACTCTACCCATTCTGCTAGTCCAACACGACACGGAGCTGTGGGGAAGCGATGCAGGGGAATTCAAGCCAGATAGATTCAAAGATGGAGTGTCAAAGGCAACAAAAGGCCAAGTCTCCTTCTTTTCTTTTGCGTGGGGACCGAGGGTATGCATCGGCCAGAACTTTGCACTGCTTGAGGCAAAGATGGCGATGGCTTTGATTCTACGGAAATTCTCCTTTGAGCTTTCTCCTTCCTATGTTCATGCGCCTGACTCAGTCATCACCATTCACCCACAGTTCGGTGCTCCTCTTATCTTGCACAAGCTCTAGCTAATCCTATGACACCTTCCCTTGTGTTGCTCTCAAATAAACTTCCCCTACACGGATGATGCGATTACACATTATACAAAACTCAAGAATCTTTCTTTTATGTACTGAAGCCAAAACTCAGACCCGATTCTCACGAAACAATCTCAGTTGTTCACCAGATTTTTAGACAAGAGATAATCAAATAAAACCTTTTGAGCATCTCTTCTTCATCAAACGACTCCTCTCTTATAATCTCTGATTAGCAGAGGCCACGCTTTTATGCGGGAGCAGCTGTTGCCAAACATGTAACACCAATCAAAACAGGTCGATTACGTCGTGATTTCGCCACAACAATGCTTTACCAAATATTACAATCTCTTGACATTTGAAACAGAGTAACATATGAAAAACCCCCAAGGATCGACTCTCTAAACCCCCCAGCCTCAATACCTTAATTTCGTATAACAAATCGCGAATTCGACAGTGAATAGCTAAACGGTTCTACACGACGGCGCAATGATTAGAACAGGAGATGACGCCGTTCCTTTTTATTTTGTACAAAACGGCGCCGTTTCTTTTTATTTTGTACAGAATGTCTTGTATGTTTTGCTTTTTCGTTTTGTGAAACGGCATCGTTCTCAGCCGATGTGTAATTTTCGGCATTTTTTTCTAGTGTTGCCGTGTAATTCAGTAATTCAGTATTGGCTTGACACATGTATTAAACATCACTAACAAGAGAAAAAAAACATGTCTTTACCTGGCTTTGTAGGCAATGCAGCAAATTTGGCCCTTACTGAAATAAAAGTAGCCAACTTCCTCCTTGAATATAGCTTTCAGTAACCATCTTTCAATGTTATTGTGATAGAATAGTACAACAAAATGTTTCAACGTCGTATGGTAAAGAAAAAAAGAGTAAAACACGTGGAAGGTACTGATTGACGAAGAAACGTCACAAACCTGAAGACGTTCATGACTTGGCCACCACTCATGTCATGACTCATTACCAAAATAGTTCTTCATCTTGTTGCTTTTAACATCAAGTCCAACTTTGTTTCTTACTGCTTTATGGCATGTGATTGTGAAGCGTGTGAACCTCCAAGTAAAGTAAATGATCAAATAAATAGTCACCACATAATAATTGTCCGAGGAATATGTAACCTTTATATTCCAGGAATTTTTAGCAACTTATCTAACCTCTCTCTCTATTCTCTCCAGTAGATGGTATTGGTAATGACAAAGAAACGTCACAAAGTTGAAGACGTTCGTCCCTTTGCCCGCCATTCAAGTTATTACTTATTACTTATAACCAATATATAACATTATCTCCTCCAGTTCTCTCTTTTTGTGCTTTTCACACAAGTCAAAATTGCTTCTTGCGCCTTCGTGGCATGCTAGTGTGAGCACAAGTACATCAAAATATCAATTAGGCACTACAAGATAATTGTCTGAACACACAAAATACAACGTCAGGGGTGATGTCATCACCACATACATATCTTCTCCACAATTCTCAACCTTTATATCTCAACAATTTTAGCAAATTCTCTACCTCTCTTTCTCTCTCTATTCTCTGGAAGAAAAATGGAGATATCAGTTGCGTCGGTAACACTATCACTAGCTGTAGTTCTCATGTCATGGTTGGTATGGAGAACTTTGAAATGGGTTTGGTTTAAACCGAAGATGCTTGAGAGTTATTTGAGAAGACAAGGTCTTGCCGGAACTCCTTACTCGCCTTTCGGCGGCGATTTGAAGAGGAATTTCAGCATGTTGGCGGAGGCAAGATCAAAACCCATCAAACTAACGGATGATATCACACCACGTCTCGTGCCTTATCCCTTGCAAATGCTCAAGACTCACGGTATGCTTCTTGTTTCTTCTCTGTTTAGTAAAGTTGTAGAGTACTATCTGATATAGAAAAGATTTCAACTTTTGTATCCTTTATGTGGTTGGAACAGGAAGGACTTTCTATACATGGTTTGGACCTATACCAACCATCACTATAATGGAACCTGAGCAAATCAAGGAAGTGTTCAACAAAGTTTATGATTTCCAAAAGCCACATACGTTCCCTTTGGGAACATTAATAGCTAAAGGACTCGCTAATTATGATGGTGATAAATGGGCGAAACACCGAAGAATCATCAACCCGGCTTTTCATATTGAGAAGATCAAGGTTTACCCCCAAAATCAAGTTAGATTGCTTTATGCATTCTCATTTGGCTCTAACTAAAACTGTGTGCTTCTGTGTTTAGAATATGGTACCTGCATTCTACCAGAGCTGTAGCGAGGTTTTTGGGCAATGGGACAAGTTAGTGTCGGAAAAAGGGTCGTCATGTGAGGTCGACGTTTGGCCTGGGCTTGTCAGTATGACTGCAGATGTGATCTCTCGTACTGCTTTTGGCAGCAGCTACAAAGAAGGACAGAGGATATTTGAGCTCCAAGCAGAACTAGCACAGCTCATCATTCAAGCTTTTCGGAAAGCTTTCATCCCTGGATACAGGTAATGAAAAAAGATACACTTATCTGATTTAATATAAGGACTCCAGAGCTTGACTCTTGATCTTTAATTATAGTGCTGTTAAAGACATGAACGTTGTGCCAAATTTTTTGTGTTTAGTTATCTCCCTACAAAAGGTAACAGAGGGATGAAAGCAAAAGCGAGAGAAATCCAAGTTATACTGAGAGGGATCGTTAACAAAAGGTTAAGGGCGAGAGAAGCTGGGGAAGCACCAAGCGACGATTTGCTGGGTATACTTATAGAATCAAATTTGGGACAAACAAAAGGAAATGGAATGAGTACCGAGGATCTGATGGAGGAGTGCAAGTTGTTCTACTTCGCTGGGCAAGAGACTACATCAGTACTTCTGGTTTGGACAATGGTTCTGTTAAGCCAACACCAAGACTGGCAGGCTCGTGCACGAGAAGAAGTGAAGCAAGTCTTTGGCGATAAAGAACCTGATACAGAAGGCCTTAATCAACTCAAAGTTGTTAGTAAACAAACTGACCCAAAGACGACCTTTTAGGTGACTTTTGTTGTATTGTAATGACGTTTGATGAATATTAATATGTTATGATCATCCCTTGCAGATGAATATGATATTATACGAGGTCCTCAGGCTATATCCTCCAGTAACCCAGCTGACCCGAGCCATTCACAAAGAGATGAAGCTAGGTGACCTAACACTACCAGGCGGTGTTCATATCAGTCTACCCATTCTGTTAATCCAACATGACACCGAGCTGTGGGGTAACGACGCAGCAGAGTTCAAGCCTGAGAGATTCAAAGACGGTCTCTCAAAGGCAACAAAGAGCCAAGTCTCCTTCTTTCCTTTTGGGTGGGGACCGAGGATATGCATCGGCCAGAACTTTGCACTGCTTGAGGCAAAGATGGCAATGGCTTTGATTCTACAAAAGTTCTCCTTTGAGATTTCTCCTTCATATCTTCACGCGCCTTACACAATCATCACAGTTCACCCACAGTTCGGTGCTCCTCTTATCTTGCACAAGCTCTAAAATCCTACAACCCCTTGTGTCTTTGTCGAGTAAACTTGTTATACACAGATGAAACGAGTTAGATCACAATGTAAAACTCAACAAATCTTTTTAAAACCCTTGGAGCAGTGATTCTCACGTGAACAAATCACTGACAAAACTGCCTACTAGACCACATTTTTCAAACCACAAACCGACTTGACAAAAATACCTACTAGACAATTGTAATTTTGGATAAGTGCTTCGCACATATGACAATATAACATTACCAAAGACCAAGACAAGACACTTGGAAACTCAAACAATCAGTAGAGACAAAGCGTTTGGCATTTTGGCCTGTGGGACAAGAATCTGGTTCGGAGTAAAGGCCTAAATTAACAGTCACCAAAAAAAAAAAAAAAAAAACAAATTCATTGACGTAAACTCAAATCTAATAAAGCATTGAAGACCTTCCCACCTTCAATTCTCGTTATTTGAGTTTGGTCGTATATTGTGTATATGACTTTATAGTTATATAAGTGTTTATATGTATTAAAGGTGTGAGTGAAGGAATGTGTGTGTGTTAGATAAGTTGTCTTGCTTCAGAGTCAAGAGTGTGTATCAGAGATGTAACTTAGAATAGCGTAAATTATATATAATTTTGTACAATTTTTTGTATTTAAGTCCACAACAAGGCATAGAAGGCAAAAATAGTAATATAAGATATCTTTAGTTCCAAGTACTTTCTCATGAATTTACATTGTTAATTATGTTGTCCATTGTTTATAAATTATTTTATTTTTGGTGTTCTTATAATTCGTTACTATTCTTACAAAATCAAAGTATATATATAAATTAAATTATGAAGTTATGTCACATATTGTTATAAACAAGATATTTTAAGTTCAGATGATATAATAAAATTTTATGTTTTTAAATATTTTAACTGATAAATTTAAATTTAATTAAAAATTTAGGATAGTATAAATATTTAAACATATAGAAAATTTAACCTATCATATAACGTGGTAATATGGTAAAACGGGTTATTAGTATAAATATAAAATAACATAGAGTTATGGTTAAATCATCATTTTATTATTTTATTAACACCACCAATATTTAAAGTAAGAATAATTAAAGTATTATAATTTATTATAAAGTTTGATTCATTCACAATAATCTTATATATATCTCAAATTAGTCATACTTCCTATTTGAAAATGTATTAAAAATATTAGAATTTGATACAAGATGACAACCTTGAATTAAAATCTATCTATTTTCAAAAATACTTCCATTTCAAATATGAAAAAATTATAAACTTTTATATAATTGATAAGGTACATCAAGATCATCATTACTACTGTAAGACTAAATCCAAATAATTATAAGGTTTTAAAAGGTTCTAAACGGCATTTGTAAGTTATCATCATTACTACTGAAAGACTAAATCCAAATAATTATAAGGTTTTAAAAGGTTCTAAACGGCATTTGTAAGTTTTTATAAGGTTTTTAAAAGGTTTACAAAAATTTTATAAGGTTTTTAAATAGTTTTTAAAAGGTATTTATGTAATATACATATTTGAAAAAGAGTATTTTTGAAAATAGATAGAAAGAGTGGTATTTTTAAAACGGGGTACAATAAAAGGGGCATTCCTCAAAAATTCTCCAAATAAACTTATATGTTTAAGCAATATAAATGATGAATCAAAAATATTTTTTGGCAGCTCTAGAAAACTTACAGTTGGACTCTATAAATACATTTGTATTCTATTCATATAGTTATTTTAGCAAATATGAGTTTAATTTAAAAAAATGCATACTTATAGTTTTCTCCACGACATATATTAAATAACGAAACTATAAATGATTAAATATACACCAAAACATATACACAACAACATCTATATTAAATATAAAACTTTTACCATGAGGTAAATTCGTAAATACAACAACGTATATATAACATCGTAACATTTATATTAACTAAAACATCAAATTACTAGAAAAATTAATTCATTTTAATGATTAAATTATAAAAAATACACTCGTGGTGTACCACGAGGTAAATCTTCTATATTTCGGACAAAATGTTTTGTTCAACAAGAAAGAAAAATTTGATGACCCAGTTGTTTTAGATCGGCAACGATTTAGATCATGTAAACGTTGAAATGTTAATTTTGTGTATGTACGTTTTGCTGTTAGATATAGTAAACCAAAGACACATTATGCATCGGGCCATTAAGTTTGCTAACCAAAAATATCGGGCTACAGCCTACAGGTACACACTTCTACTAACCCCATTAGAAAAGTGTAAATTCAAATAATTTCTTACACACCATTTCATTAATCTACAAATATTATTAGCCACTGTAACTGCAAACTATAATTAAACCATTTTCTATTAATTTCATATACTATTTTCAAAAAACCATGCAAAGATAGACACACATTTGCATGTACTATCATACAACATATTACGTATATATAACCTATAGCGGTTAAACTTTTATATAACAGATACACATACAATACTAGCCCCGTGGTGTAACACGGGGTAAAATCTAGTATGTCAATATAACATTACCAAAGACCAAGACAAGACACTTGGAAACTCAAACAATCAGTAGAGACAAAGCGTTTGGTATTTTGGCCTGTGGGACAAGAATCTGGTTCGGAGTAAAGGCCTAAATTAACAGTTACCAAAAAAAAAAAAAAAAACAAATTCATTGACGTAAACTCAAATCTAATAAAGCATTGAAGACCTTCCCACCTTCAATTCTCGTTATTTAAATACCAACGAATGCTGGCAAATGATCTCTGCCTCTGACATAATGGAGATGTCTGTTTTATACTATTCAATAACTATTGTTTTTGTCCTGTGGTGGACATGGAAAACTGTAATGTGGGTTTGGCTAAAACCTAAGATGTTGGAGTGTTTCTTGAGAGGACAGGGTCTACCTGGAACTCCTTACACGCCTCTTGTCGGAGATTTGAGGAATTTCAGAGTTTTATTGAAGGCAAGATCCAAACCCATCAATCTAACAGATGATATCATCCCACGTGTCATGCCTGTAACCTTAAACATGCTCCAAACTCACGGTATGTTCCCTAATTAATTATCACAGCTTTTGATATTCATTTTACTTCCACAACTAGGTAGCAGAACATGAGACTTCAAAAAGAAAAAAGAAAAATTTGTAGAACCGATTTGATGTTTTGGTGTGTGTGAGTGGAGGAACAGGAAGGACTTTCTTCACATGGCTTGGTCCTATACCAATCATTACAATAATGAATCCAGAGCAGATCAAACAAGTTTTCAACAGAGTTTATGATTTTCAGAAGCCGCATGCACTCCCACTGGCTAGACTGATAGCTACTGGACTGGTTTTCTCTGATGGAGATAAATGGGCTAAACACCGGAGAATCATTAACCCCGCTTTCCACTGTGAGAAGATAAAGGTTTCTCCATCGTTCAAATCATGTTATATAGATACTTCAATATGTAGTTACTATTTTTGTGCTGAGAATCCATTTTTTGTGTATAGAATATGGTACCTGCCTTCCACCAGAGCTGTATCGAGGTTGTGAACGAATGGGAGAAGTTAGTCTCTGATAAAGGGTCTTCGTGTGAGGTTGATGTTTGGCCATGGCTAGTTAGTCTTTCTGCGGATGGGATCTCTCGTACTGCTTTTGGTAGCAGTTATAAACAAGGGAAGAGGATATTTCAGCTTCAAGCGGAACTAGCACAACTCATTATACTATCTGTTCAAACAACTTACATCCCTGGATGGCAGTAAAACCCCCATTTCCTCTAGTCTTATACCGTTAACATACTAGGAGACATGTTATGTATTCACCCTTCTTTTCTATTTTTGCATAGGTATCTCCCAACGAAGAGTAACAGAAGGATTAGAGCAATAGACAGAGAGATCCAAGCTACCTTGAGATGGATTATTAGTAAACGGGAAAGGGAGAGAGAAGTTGGGGAAGCACCAAATGATGATTTGTTGAGTATCCTTCTTGAATCAAATGCAGGTCAAGCTCAAGGAGATGGAATGAGCATTGAAGATGTGATGGAGGAGTGTAAGCTGTTTTATATAGCCGGGCAAGAGACAACTTCAGTACTTTTGGTTTGGACCATGGTTCTGTTAAGCCAACACCATGACTGGCAGGTTCGTGTACGAGAAGAAGTGAAGCAAGTATTTGGCGATAAAGAACCTGATGCGGAAGGGCTTAACCAGCTCAAAGTTGTAAGTCATGAAACCAAATCAAGAACCTTGGAGTTGGAGTTGTGACATTTCCTATATGTTTTTATGTGTTTGATGATTTTTTTCTGAATTATTCTAACAGATGGCAATGATATTTAATGAGGTCCTTAGGCTATATCCTCCAGTAATCCAGCTGAACCGAGCCATCCACAAAGAGACGAAGCTAGGGGATCTGACACTACCAAGTGGTGTTCAGATCAATCTGCCTCTTCTACTAGTCCAACGAGACACTGAGCTGTGGGGAAACGATGCAGCAGAGTTTAAGCCGGAGAGATTCAAAGACGGTCTCTCAAAAGCAAGAAAGAGCTTCTTTCCCTTTGGATGGGGACCAAGGATCTGCATCGGCCAGAAGTTTGCTATGATGGAGGCAAAGATGGCAATGGCTTTGATTCTGAAGAGATTCTCCTTCGAGCTTTCTCCTTGTTATGTTCACGCACCTTACACAGTCATCACCATTCACCCACAGTTTGGCGCTCATCTTATCTTGCACACGCTCTAAATACCATAAACCTTGATGCGAATCTGTAATGTTTTCGAATGATAAACTTGTTATACGTAGAAACAATTCATGATCACGACTTGATGATAATAATTTGTTAAAAAATCTATCGACCATTCCATGCATTTACAGAAAATTTAATTTACAGCTACTTGATCAAGAAGTAAATATGATTTTAAATGTGTTAACAAAAATAAAAAATAAAATAAAAGACAAAAAAAAAAATAGTTTTTTGCTCGTGCGGTGAGCAAGAAAAATCTTCAAGTCAGCCAACGAAACTGCCTTTTGTCACTTAAAAGGGTTCTTTGGTCAATCCTTTAACAATTTTCATAACCTAGCTAGGGATTAAATCGTTGCTGTTTCCAAATTCGCTGAGTTCATGTGATTGAATTGTGGAATCTAGAAACTGGGTTCTTTGTGATCGTCCGTCTTCTCTCATCAGTACACCATCAATTAAGGTATTCTGGTTATTTTCTCCTCTTCTTGGTTTTAGGATTCTAATTAGGTCAATTTTATATAAACCTAGCTAGATCTCTTTTATATATACGTCACAACAAGGTATAGAGAATTAGCCGCTTCTGACTCATCATCGAGGGTTTTGATATACAAGGATGTCTCAGTTCAAAATTGCTATGAAGAAGGATTTTATGAAGAAGAATACGAAATTGGTTATAAATATCTCTTTAGATAAAGATGCTTCGAGATTTGAAGCTGCTCAGGGTCTTGGTTCTTTAAGAGAGGAGAAGAAACAGAGCTCTGAATCATCAGAGAGACTAAGTATGGTTAAAAGGGTTTGTTGCAAAGCTGAAATCCATAATCTTGGTTCTTCAAGAGTGCAGAAAGATAGGTTTGGCTCAGAGAGTCGAAAAGATGTGTTTCAAAGGGTTTCTTTCAAAGATGAAGAGATTGATAAGGCAATTGATGATCATCATTCTGTTGTTAGAGATGGGATGATGCGTGAGGTTGATGTCGGAACTGGATTATCTGGCGCGTTAAACCGACTTAGAGAGCAAGGAACTTTCAGAGGTGAAAGCAAGCTTGTTGTTGGTGTTAAGGACAAGCATGAAGGTGACAGATTCAGAGATGGATTCAAGGATATACAGATTCAGAGGGTTGACAAGTGGGGAAGGACATTGAATCAGAAAGAAGCGTATAGAGCACTGTGTCATGGATTCCATGGGAAGCAGCCTGGGAAGAGGAAGCAAGAGAAACGGAAGAAGAAGCTGGAAGATAAGTCAAAACAGATGGTAACTTAAGAGAGAGCTGTGGAGAGAATGAGACAAGTTCATGCCGTATTGAAGAGTCCTTATATTGTTCTCTAGTCATAAACTTCTCTTTGAAATAGGCTTTTACTATGATCTCAATGGCATTTTAATAACAAACTTCATTGATTTGGTATTCTGCTTAATATTTTTCAAGGTTTCTTGTATGTTTTTACATCAGTAATACATGGCCTCTTCACCTATATTACAATTTCTTTTCAGTATATGATCTAACGCTCTTTGCATTCCTGTATGGATCTCTTTTTGTTTTGGCTATGTCAGGGAAACAACTTCAATGCATCCCGAGACAAAACAAGCGTGTTTAGTGACGGCTCCATCTTCCAAGAAGGCTCGCCTATGCAGTGATCAGAACTTGGAAGACAGATTCAGCAGCTTGCATGAGAGTATTGTTAGCAGAATTTTGAGCCATCTTCCAACTGTTGAAGCTGTTAGTACCTCTGTGTTGTCAAAGACATGGATGAACATGTGGACAAGCATCACAGAGTTACAGTTTGATGATAAAACGCATAGGGATCCCAAGGATTCTCGATTTACTGACTTTGTTGACCGTGTGCTTGGCAACATTGGAAGTCCGCGTATCAACAGCTTCTATCTATCTTCTGTTAACTCTTACGATGAGGATCTTCTCATCTCATGGCTTTCAGAGGTTCTAAAGCGCAAACTTCAGAGCCTTGTTGTCACTTGCCAAGAACTTGACAGCGTAAATTTTTCACCACTCTTTCCTAGTTTTGCTTCTCTTGTGGAGTTAAGACTTCGTACAAAGAGCATTCTTGACATTTCGGCTCCAGCTCTGCTCCCGAATCTTAAGTTTTTTAGTCTCGAGGATGCTAGAATCTTCAACATGTCTTCCGTCTCAAGGAACCTCGTTCTGAACTTTCCTGTCTTGGAAACTTTTGAAGCCTCTTATTGCCGCTGCTTTAGAACCAATACTGTGATCCTAGATTCTCCATTGCTCAGAGTCTTTGAGATGTTCAAGTGTACCTCTGCACACGTACCAAATGCTTCTCAAGTGTGTAAGATCAGCGTGTTATCTTCAAAGCTTGAGAAGATCACATTCTCCGGGGACGATTCCCGAAAGTTTCTTCTGTCTTTTCCACCGTCTTTATCTGATGCTTATCTTGCACTCAGCAGTCAGTGGTCCAAGAAGTTTCTGCGTAGCTTCACATGCGTAAAGAGTTTGGGTCTCGAGGTTTAGTTACATTACACCTTCTTCTTTAACTTTCTAAAGTATTTCACGGCTCAAAACACTCACAACTCTTTATCTCTTCCTCTTAGATTAGCAAGGATTTTTATGTGAACGAAGTACCCAAGTTCAGACAGTTGGTTTACCTGCATTTGATATACGACATGACACAATATTGTAAACTAACACAGTTCCTCGAAGCCGCACCAATACTCGAAATGCTCAGCATCCGTGTAAGTCATATATATATGTCTAATGATATATCGAATGTTGTGACACCAATATCTTTACTCTTCTTCTGAACTTTCCTCTCTGGTGAAACCAACAGGACCTGGCATCTCCTCGTTCAACACCTACTACAAAGTTCTTGAAGGAACTACGTGCAGAGGAATCCCCGGATTGCGTTAGAACAATGCTCAAAGTCCTGCAAATCAGGTTTTTTAAGCCAAATAGGCTGCAGATATCAGTAATGAGGTGGGTGATGGACAACGCTGAGATTCTTGGATCAGTCATCCTATCCTCGCCCAATCCAATCACAGAAGAAGCTAAAGCAAATATCTTGTCTTATCCTAAAGCCTCACCTCATGCCTCTGTCTTCTTCGAATGACCCCCCATAATAACTTGACCCTTTTGCAATTCCTAATTCCTTGTGGGTTACGGCAAATTTATCATATTTCTTTAGATTCTCGCTGAAATTTTGAAATTAGATTCTATGTGGTGGATTCTCTCTGGCTCGAAGAAAAGAATATGCCTTTTGGACAAGTTTAAAGACAGAAACAAGTGTTGTTGATGTGCCCTTAACCACATGCAACTTCTTCTGACACTCTCAGTGGACCACTTCTTTGCATTATATCATTATGTGTATGATGCAGCATCCAGTATTGTCTTCTTTTATCATCAACTCGACTAATAAAATAATATTGCATTATATTTTGGGTCCGAATGGTAACTGCGGTTTTCACTGCGGGAGAAGTGCGGTGCGGTTCAAATAGTAGCGAAAATATATAGATATATATGTATATGTAGATATTTTGACACTGTTACAGCACTGTTGCGGTGCGGTTTTGTAGTGCGGTATGGTTACCATTCGGAGCCTTTGTATAGCAATATAAATATTCGAGACAAAATCTCATATAATTGTTTGTTATTGAGTTATGGTCCTCTGATTTTCTGGTCTAAAAAGATTGAAAAAGTTGTTTTGGAGTTATATGTAAAAGATACTTTTTTAAAAAATATAGTAGATGTTTAATAGGTGACACTAACTTATTAGCATAATAATAATTGTGATGGTGATGTGTGTTTTAAATATTGAACAATAAATTAGGTTCGTTGATTTTACAAGGCCACCAAACAACACAAGAAAACAAGAAAAAATCTGCTTGGCGGAGATATTTCGGGTTCTTATAATTTACACCACTTTGGAGTAAAGCCAAATCTAACAAAAGTTATGTTTTCATGTGGTCGATTTGTGTCATCTGTGCTGTTTTGAACTTGAACCGTAACCATTAGTGAATGGTAACAAACCAAAAACGAGTAATTGATTGATGCTCTCATTCTAATTAACAGCTTCTGTTCTAATACGTTGGTTTAATTTGTTGTTAGCTTTGTAGTTAACTGATGAATGGTTTTTTTTAGCTAATTGCGACAAATGATTAATACTAAAACTATAAAGTATAAACTAGTTCTTCTTCAATCATTGAAAACTAGTTTTTGGATCAAGGCCACGGAACCGGATTGATATATTTAATGGCAAAAAAAGACTAAAACTGAAAACTTATTAGGGAATGATGAGCACATGTTGAGACTTCAACGGTGGCATCTTATTTTAAGCAAACTCCCAAATGTGTGGGAACATTTGATAAACCAATTTATAGACTAAATCAGAGCCATTTTTTTTCTGGTATAGTCTCCCATCAAAGAGATACCCGAGTATCACGTTTCCACTATAATATATAGATTGATGTATATTGTAGCTTTATAAAACTATATATATATGATGAACTTGTAGTTAGATTTTTATCATTAAAAAAGGTGTCATCGGAACGAAGAAAGCGTGATGGAAAATGAAAGATCAACTTTTGTTTTAAAATGTTATAAATATATATACAGTATATGATCACTTGGTTGACACCTTGCCCCCTTCATTTTATAATATAGTATAAGATATGCTACATTTTGTTGTGTGGCTTAAGATTTGAGATCGTACATGATATAATATGCATTATATGTCTTTTTCTTGCTTTTTTGGCTAATGGACCGACTTTACATCTCACCCATATGTTTTTTTCTTTCTAATCTAATATTGTACAATTGCATTTATACTGAAGTCCTATAATATTAAACTTAGAATAAACCATATGTTTTAACATAATTAAGTCAACAAAACATATAATTTAAAACCATATAGATTATTAGTTAAGCTTTGAATGGGCATGCTTACAACATTTTGAGTCCAATCTTGATATATAAATAACATAGCCTCTTCGATTTTATATTTTATAATCAAATAAACTATTATAATGTAGTTTTTGTGACTTTTTCTTTTTCTTCATCAAAGCCATATTATACCAAATTGAGAATTGCAACCCCATCTTTTTATTGTATTTGATCTTAACGTCGTAGCGGCAGCAACAACAGCAAAGGTCGCTTGCACAAGTCATTATCCTATTTTATTATATTTTTGACACTTAAAAGTCTTCCCTCATTTTATTTTAACATGTAAATCGTAATTACTTTATATTTAAATTTAAAGAAGTGTTTTCCATATCATACTATTAAATTTCGCCATGTGTCATATACATGTGAAAACGTTAACTAACTATGATTAGGTAAGTTTTACGGCAGCATAAACTTGTCGGATTAAGTAATTAAGTATTATCCTCTAATAAACGTTAACTACATTGTTAAACCATATTTATTGACTGAAACATCAATGACAGAGATCTCAACTCTTGTTTACGGATGGCTCAATTTAACCACACCATTTTAAAAGAGTAGGTAAAAAACACGTTTGATATAAAAGGAAGATACCATTATACAAACAAATGCAACATAGAAATATTTTAAAATAGGATATAGAACGGTCCGGTCCGGTTCGTCGGTAGTTGCCTCACAACGGGTCAATTTCCGAAAGGTCACCGACAGTGGAAATAACGAAACCATTAAACCTCAGAGTTTGTAATAAATTACGATACTGCCATACTATTCCTCGTGACCTGTCCTTCGTACCCAATAAGTACCACGAAAATTGCTAATCTTAGGAAATTTATTTATTTATTTATTTTTATTATTTTTGAGAAACAACAAAATTAGAATACACGGAAATAAATAAAATCACATCATCGGGGGGTATATATAAACAACATTACTCATCTTGAGATTTTTATTGTCTAATCAAATCCATCTTTTCTCCGATCGCTGCTGGATCTTGAAGATCTCTAGATTTTCTCATCTCTCTCTCTCTTGCTTTTTGAGTTTCGTCTGGGTTTTGGGAGTTCTTGTGAGAAATCTAGGGGTTTTCTGGAAAAAATTTCTCGATCGGGTTTTGGTTTCTGGGATTTTTGATTTTGGGATTTGTGAATCGAAGAATTGCCATTTTCTTTGATTACTCTTTTTTTATTATTTGCGATCTTTACTGAGATCATTGAACGGGGTTTTAAAGTTGGGTTTTTGATATTGAGGAGAAGACGATAGGGTTGTTGAGCTGTATTGGTTCTTCTGGTGTTGAAGATTTTGGTTGCTGAGAATTATATAAATCAGTCTGCGTTTATCTTATTTTTCTTGCCCTTTGTGTTCTCGTTGGGAAGAGCCTTTTTGAGTTTTTAATTTGCTTTAAAGAGGATGCAACAAGGTCAGGAGAAGAAGGTTGGTTTCTGCTTTTAGCTTTCTTTGTTGAATCTGAGTACCCTTTAGTGAATGTGTTTCTTTTTTTCTTTCTTGGAGCTCATTTTACTGAATTCTGATATATTTTTTTTTGGCTGCTTTTTTTGGTGATTTACAGAACATGAAAGAGGTGGAGTTTTTCACTGAGTATGGTGATGCTAACCGTTATCGGATTCTTGAAGTTATTGGAAAAGGAAGCTATGGAGTTGTCTGTGCAGCTATTGATACGCATACAGGAGAGAAAGTGGCGATTAAGAAGATTAATGATGTCTTTGAACATGTCTCTGATGCTCTCCGTATCCTCCGTGAGGTTAAGCTTCTCCGGCTCTTAAGGCACCCTGATATTGTTGAAATCAAAAGCATCATGTTGCCGCCTTCCAAGAGGGAGTTCAAAGATATATATGTTGTGTTTGAGCTTATGGAATCAGATCTTCACCAAGTCATCAAAGCTAATGATGATTTGACTCGTGAGCACCACCAGTTTTTTCTTTATCAGATGCTTCGTGCTTTGAAGTACATGCATACAGGTGAAAAATCTTTATCTTTTTCCCCCCTCTCAGATTTTGAGGTGATTCGTAAGCTTTGTAATTAACTGGATTCTTTCTGGATGCAGCTAATGTTTACCATCGTGATCTTAAACCGAAGAACATATTGGCAAATGCAAACTGCAAGTTGAAAGTCTGTGACTTTGGACTAGCAAGAGTCTCGTTTAATGATACACCTACAACAGTCTTTTGGACGGTATGCACACTTATCTACACATTTTGCTGTCTGACTGTTAATTATGTTTTGGTAATCTCTCCAGTGTTTATGAATTTCCTTCGCTTTGTCTTTTTTTTTTTGTTGCAGGATTATGTTGCCACAAGATGGTACAGGGCACCTGAGCTCTGTGGATCATTCTGTTCTAAGGTAGTTGTTATTCTTCTTCTTCGTTTATGCTTGTTTAGTGTACAATCTGTGTGGAATAGAGAGTGCTAGAGATATGTCTCGTACTCCCCAGCTCAGGGAGGATTTGAACTCTCCCCGAAATTGAAAAACCTCAGGCAGCCTAGCATTTTTTTTTTCAGAAATGTACGCTCAATATTCTGATATGCAGTTTTTATCTTTGGCAGTATACACCAGCAATTGACATTTGGAGCATTGGCTGCATCTTTGCTGAGGTATTAACAGGGAAGCCTTTGTTTCCTGGAAAAAGTGTCGTCCATCAGTTAGACTTAATTACCGATCTTCTTGGCACACCAAAATCAGAAACCATTGCTGGAGTATGTTCTTTTTGCTTCCACATTACCAAGTTGTTGTTTTTTTTTGCGGGGAGGAGACACGCATAACTAATAATATTGTCTCTAATGCAGGTTCGAAATGAAAAGGCTAGAAAATATTTAAACGAAATGAGGAAGAAAACTCTTATCCCCTTTTCGCAAAAATTTCCTAACGCAGATCCGTTAGCATTACGCCTTTTGCAAAGACTGTTGGCTTTTGATCCGAAGGATAGGCCTACTGCTGCGGAGGTGCATGTTCTGCCATTTTTCTTGTTAATAGAGTCGTTTTCCCCTCCCTATTAGAACAACTGACTTGCTTCTATTGCAGTAATCTGTAGTTCATATTTCAGCTCCGTACATGGTGATGTTAACACTGTGATTTTCTTTGACAGGCGCTGGCTGATCCTTACTTTAAGGGCCTTGCTAAGGTTGAAAGAGAACCTTCTTGTCAGCCTATCTCGAAGATGGAATTTGAGTTTGAAAGACGAAGGTTGGCAAAGGATGACATCAGGGAACTAATATACAGGGAGATACTAGAATACCATCCGCAGCTGCTCAAGGATTATATGAATTCTGAAGGCTCAAGTTTTCTATATCCGAGGTTGGTACCCCTTCCTCTTATAAGCCATAGTCATGTCTTACTGTCGTAGCAAAAGAAATGCGAGGCGTTTCACTCTCTAGTTATTCATTTTCACTTATTGATTGTATTTTACATTGCAGTGCCATTGGTCATTTGAGGAAACAATTTGCGTACCTAGAGGAAAATAGTGGCAAAAGTGGGCCAGTCATACCTCCAGAGAGGAAGCACGCTTCACTTCCAAGGTATATTTTCTCATCCATTCATAACAACTATGCAAAATTATATCTCTGTTGATTCAGTATGGCAATTTTGATTAAGATTTACCTCTTCATCTTTGTAGATCTACAGTTCACTCCAGTGCAGTAAACTCGAACACTCAACCCAGTTTAAATGCATCAGACAGTCGACGTGTTTCTTTCGAGCCTTCAAGAAATGGAGTAGTTTCATCAACTTCAGCATATTCAACTAAACCTTTAGGGCCTCCACCAAGAGTACCATCAGGTCATTCCTCAGCTATAATCTATGAAAGTACTGGACTTTTTCTCTGGGGCTGAAAAATTGTAGCAATCTTCCATCATAGTAAACAAAAATTGATGGACAGTATTGTTCTTAAAGTCAATTGCCTTCCTTATTTATGTCTAACAGGTAAACCTGGCCGTGTGGTGGAATCATCTGTATCTTATGAAAATGACAGAAACCTCAAAGAGTCGTCCTATGATGCAAGGACATCATATTACAGAAACACGGTTATCCCTCCACAGACGCTCTCTCCTAACTGTTTTTTCTATCCTAAATCCATGAACCAAGAGAAGCACGGTGGTACAGAAGCTGCTTCTCAACCAAAACCGCAGTTTGTCCCCTCCCAATGCAACTCCGTGAAGTCAGCTGAGCTGAACCCAAACCCTTATGTCCAATCACAGCACAAGGTGGGTATTGATGCTAAGCTGTTGCAGGCACAATCCCAATTTGGTCCAGCTGGAGCCGCCGCGGTTGCAGTAGCAGCACATCGGAACATGGGCGCAGTTGGGTATGGCATGTCTTAGAATGTAGCACATTGGCGCTGTTGCCTATTGCCAGAAACTCCTCTCGTTAGTTGTTATGTAATGTAAGTATTATTCGATCGAAGCCTGATTTGAACACATTTGAGATTGTAATAAGAATGGTTCAGTTTTAACCCCACCAAATGTCTCGGCGAAAGCTTAATGTGCTCTTGGAAACTGCTCCGGTACGCTTGGATCATCCACGTTGGAAAATATTCTAAAATTCTGGCCTTTCAAGAACAAAGAACTACAATATAATATCACAATGTTAATCCAAACTGGCCTCATGGCTAACAAATAATACAGAGGAATGTCCAAAAAAATTGCAAGTCCCAAGATGTGGTTGGTTAGATTTTTCTAGTCCGTAAACTATTGTTTTCCGCAGAACATAAATAGTAAATTATACTCGATGGTTACATAAAATATCTGTCTACCCAAATAAGCGGTCGAGCATCATCGACTCATGACCATGCATATGGGAAATCAATTGGTTTAACCAAGCGTGTATAGATTTCAATTCTGGGTGAGTCTTATCGCCGGTAAAAAACGTGTGAACACCGGTCTTGAGCCCAATCCAGCTGCAACCTGGAGTCTTTTTCACATTCTGCTGTCTCATTGTGTCTCTAACGTCCAACACTTCCATGTACTTCCCAGCTTTCACATAAACATTAGACATTAATACATAGCCACCGCAATGCTCTGGCTCGAGCTCATATAGCCGCTTTCCTGCCACCAGTGCGAGATCTGTGTTCCCGTGAAGACGACAAGATGACAATATGGACCTCCAGACTACAGGATTATCGCAAATGGGCATTGATACTGCTAACTCATATGCTTCCTCTAGCTTGTTTGCACGGCCAAGCATGTCTATTACACAAGTGTAGTGATCACTTGTTGGGGGAATGTTATATACCGTCTCCATCTGTGCAAAAAAACTTCTCCCTTCGTCCACAAAGCCGGAGTGGCTACATGCTTGTAGCAACCCAACGAATGTGATTTCATCGGGTTTGACACCGGCTCTGCACATACATGAAAACATATCCAAAGCTAACTCACCGCAGCTCTGCACACCGTAACCATTGATCATGATATTCCAGGAAGCTGAGTCTTTAACCCTCATCAAGTCAAAAATCATTCGAGCGTCCCTCAAGTCCCCGCATTTCACGTACATATCCATCAAAGAGTTATGTATGAAGAACTGATTACTGGAATTGCGGTTTTGAAGTCCACTGACGGTCATGTAGCCATGAATCTCTCTGCCCTGATCCAGTGCAGCTAGACGACCGTAAGTGGGCAGAACAGTTGTCAATGTAACAATATCAGGTCGGATTCCAGAACGAAGCATGTTTTTGAAAAGAGCTAAGGTTCCATCATGATCACCACAGTAGTCATTTACACATAAGATAGAGTTCCAAGTAAATATGTCTCTCTCATCCATTGCTTCGAATATACGGGTAGCCTTTTCTAGCTTCTTACTCTTTCCATACATATCAATCAATGCATTTGACACAACAATATCAGAATCAGATCCCATTTTCACCGCAAGACCATGGACTGACCTGCCGTTGTCAAGATCCCCTGATACAGTAAACCCCGATAAGACACTTGTAATGGTATGCCTACTCATGCCTACACCTTCTTCACGCATCTTACTAAAGACTGTCAAAGCATCCTCAAATCTAAATATCTGTGAATACCCATTGACCAAAGCATTCCAAAGCACACTGTCATCTCTGTCAGGCAATTCATCGAACACTTTCTGAGCATCCTCCACTGACATGAACTTCGAATAAGAAGTAACTAAACCACTCCCCACATAACAATCGGAATCAAGCCCAAGTTTAAACGCTAATCCATGAACCTTCTGAACATCAGAAAGCTCCATAGCATCGCATCCTTTAAGCAAACTAGGAAATGTATACTTATCAGGCAAAATCCCTTTAGCTCGCATTTCTCTATACATCTCCATCGCATCAAAAGGAGACCCATTCACCACAAACCCAGAAATCAAAGCGTTATAACCAAACACATCGCGTTCAGATCCGTCGAAGACCGTCACCGCGCGCCGCATAAGACCACACTTAGCGTACATGTTGACGAGGCTCGTGACAGCGCGAGGCGAATCTTCGAGAAACCCTTTCCTAACCATGAAACCGTGGATCTTTTGCCCGGTTCCCGAATCATTGCGCTGCGCACAGCGTTGCAACGTAGCGATACATGTAGCAACATTGTGGTACTCGTATCTCTTTTGGTGTTCTTCGATTCGCCCAGAAACTGTCGAATATAAAGATGCTAACGCAGAAGAAAGCTTTATTGCTGAGAAGTGATCTCGGTTCCGCGGGAGAAACCTCAGAGCTCCGGCAGAAAAAAATTGAATCTCGATCCGCATAAACAAAACGGTCATCGTTTTGGTTCCACGATTACATTTTTGAAATTAAGCTAATATATGGAAAGCTCTGTGCTATAAGAACAAAAAAAATAAAAATTGGTAAATAACGTTAATTGGGCTTACGAAGAATGAGAAAGAATAAAAAGAAGGCCCATAAAAAGAGGCAGACGACAGGCCCATTAATACTAAATACGATAGCAGTTACTCCCACATCGCTTAGTTGAACAAAAGAAGCAGAATTTATATAACGTCAGAGTCGAACAAGTGATTGTCCCTTCGGGGACATCCGATAAAATTGGAACGATACAGAGAAGATTAGCATGGCCCCTGCGCAAGGATGACACGCACAAATCGAGAAATGGTCCAAATTTTTTTTGAACCAAAAATTTCCGAGATCGATCTCTTCTTCTGTTTTTTACCTGTCTTCTGTGACTCATAAGTGAAGTTTTTGGATGCAAATCTGCACGAGAAAAGTTATATAAATCCATGTTTCAGGAACCTGCAATGAACTAGCGAACACAATCTGATGGTCGGGGAGTTTTGTTTCTGAGACAGAGAACACCAATATGATTAAGTGTACCAAATGTAATGAGAGAGGTTCCGGTTTGGGTAAACCAACAGAACCATTCTCCTCCATTAACGCTTAAGTCGTCAAGAGAGATTACTCGATAAGTTCTGTAATGTTGTATGTAAAGAATCTTGAAGGATGAGGTGTTTTTTTTTTGGTTGGTGTCTACCTCTTTGAGCTACTTGTTTACCAAATTTTGGGTCTAACGCCATGAGTCTTTCTTTGATTGTGATAAGCGAAATCGCTCAACTTCCTTGAGTTTGAAGAGATTAACATTTCTGATCCATCTGTCAAAAGTAATCTACTTCTTATAATCATCATGACAAAAGCCATAAGAAATCACTTTAAATTACAATAACGGATTGAAACAAAGATTGACCAGGTTTTAGCCTAGTACAACTTAATCAATTCAAACATTGAACAGAATAACAAAGTTTGACAGCATTAAGCAGCAGCTAACTACTCTGATCAGATAACAATGATATATGAAAAGACGTTTCAAAACAATTACAAAGCACATGAGTGGAAGCTTCAGAGTTGCAAGCAAAAGCATGGCCATGACCCTCAAAAGCTTTCTCCTACTTTTTATCTTCATCTCTGGCAACAATCTTGTACTTCCCACTTTCCTGTTGCTGACAAACAAAAAACTTCTAATCAAAACTTAGCCCTACAAATACATACACAACTAAATAAGATCAGCAAAAATTTATTTGATACAAATCTTACCCTTTCCCACAATTTGGTATGGTCATTGCAGAAACCAACAACGATACCACCAGTCTTCTTGTCTTCACGATACTCAATACAAAGATCTTCCTTCAACCCACAAGTAACATGAAAATCCAACTGACATCTCATCTCCGAGCACTTGATAACACAACCGCGTCTACTCTTACACAAATAACACCTATCTTTCCATCTCTTACTCGGCACCTCACTACAACAGATCCCTTCCCTTCCTTCAGGATCCTCAAAGTAAACTTCCGGCACAAACAAAGCGCAAGTGATGTGAGCCCATCTACCATCATTTGTGGGTTTCATCGCTCCGCCTTTAGTTGTGCACAAGCAGCAAGAGAGAAGCTTCTCTCGATTGTTGGATGAGATACACTGACTACAAAACCAATCACCTTCTGGTATAGCCTTAACTAGAGGATTCCCATAACAAGAAGCATGAACCATCAAATCACAACCATCACAGAACACAATTGGATTTGATGGTTCACCATCTGTACTTTGACATACAGCACACATAGTCCCATCTTCATCTTCTACTTTTCTATCTTCTAGATCCAAAACTTTCCCATTACCTAGAGGATCTATGTTCTCCTTATCATCATCTTCTAGTTCTAGACTCGATTCAACCATTAGAGTTGACTTTTTCGCTACTGACTTCTCCTCAACAGAAGGCTTATACTCAACATTCAGATCAAAAGGCGAAAAGGGGTTACCGGAGACGGAGAGGAGATCGGGATCAATCGCCCAAATCCTTTTCTTAGCCGGAAGACAACGATAGGTGGGGTTAGAGTTCTCGCCATCGTCGTCGTAATCAACTCGAGCCTGCTTCCTCTTCTTCGCCGGCAACTGTGACGGCTTCGCCTCCGGTAGGTTCTGTTGAGCAGCTTCAAGGTCTCGCTGCATCATTCTATATCTTTTGAGAGGAGGTAGATCTTGATACTGAGCATCCATGGCTTCTAGTTTCAGATCTCTGGGTGTGCTGTGTGTGGTGAATGAATGAACAGTCGTGAGATCTCGAAGAAATTAAAGGCAATACGAAAATTATATTTGCCCGCCAATTGTTATGTGTGCGCCAAATTTCTCAAATTTGTTCTGATTTTTAAAATTTCGTTAAAGAAAGCTTCTTTGTTTCTTCGTTTCAATTCAACCGAAAATAAAATTTTAGACTTACCCGCCAATTGTTATCAAATGCGAGGGAGGTGATATCTTAGGGCCTTGAATTCGCCCTATTTAAGACCTTAATGGGCTTATTTTTTATAAAACAAACTGTGGGCTTTCATGTTTTTCTTAATTAACAACTAGCGCTGCTGAATATCGCTTGTTCACAATCATATGATCATCATCCCCAAGAGTCAGAGTAAAAGTTACAAAAAGTAATTTCATGAGTTGCCGGAAAAATGGACGACTTTTTCATCGATGTCCTTGTTGTCCTTGTGGCGGCGGTTGAGGCTGCTGCTGTTGCTGCTGCGGATCGTAGCCAGCCCACGCAGCCTGTGGTCCGTAAGGAGGAGGATAATAGCCAGCAACGCCTGCTTGTGCCTGAATCACCATTGTCATCATATATGAGCACAATACCTTTAGATGTCTACAAATGTATGCACCTATAACTACAGGGGATTAATAAAGATAGTTGTTGTTCAGTTAAATGTATGAACCTGTCGTTCAGTCACAGGTTCTATTGACTAGAGCTCATATTGTTGACTCGAGATTCGTCTAATAAATCGATTGATCCAGTCTTCTTTACACTTGATTTGACTTGTTAGAATTTAGGCTGTACTACTGGCTACTGAAGTTCCGGTTCATGTCCAAGGACCAAGATTCAAAATTCAAACTAAGTGTGAAACTAGACAGAACTATGGTGAGTTCAGACAAAGCATCTACTAAAGCACAGGCAATATTGTCTTCTAGGTAATAACTAATAAAGAGATTCCCACGGGAAGAGATCAAAGCTGTAAATTTATAACTTACTGGATTCACGACATAGTTGGGTTGATAAGGATTCACAGGATACCCAGCCTCAGGATTTCCATAGCCACCGCCATAGGCAACTCCACCTGATTAAAAACATGTTTTTGCTTAACATCGGTATATGCATTCAACTGTAGCTCGACTGTATATTGCTAGTAATTATTTTCACCTATTACTTGTGCATCGAATAGGCACTGTGATGACTAATTAAAAAGGTTTGTGATTATACAAGATTATCATACCAGGATTCCCAAAAGGGCCAGTTGCATGAGCTCTCGACTCTGAGTTAGCAATCTCTGCTCGAAGCTTCTCCAGTTCGCGAGCCATTGCAACTAATTTATGCTCCATAATTTTGCCGTGCTCGTAATTTTCCGCGTACCCTTTCTTCTCATAATCAATAGCCGCTCTACAAAACAGAAATCACATCATTACATATTAACATCAAGATGAAGAAAGGCAAACCATAAGAAGAGACTGATCTAACCTAGCTCTTTGCAACTCTTGCTTTGTGTTCTCAATTTCTGCAGTTAGTGTTGGTATCTGCTGCAAATCTGATGTAAGTCTAGCCAAATCTTGAGTCATCACATGAACCTGGCTGGTAAGTTCTTGCCTACCCGAAGTTAAGTCTTTAATATGCACACGGATCTTTTGAATCTCAGCTCGCATAGCGTCAACTTCACGCAATTCCATTTCAGATCGCATAGATTTATCATACATCTCCCTCATCATGATCTCTTCCTCACCTCTCAAGGAATCAATGTAATGCATCACTCTTTGCAATTCGTGCTGAGCAACTTCAAGTTCCTGTTTCAGGGCGATATGAATTGCAACCACCCTCTGGTTATCAGCAAGTAAGCCCTGAACATCTTGGTTCTGAGCAGCAAGACGATCCTCCATGATAGAAAACTGTGGAGGAAGACCTCTTGCATCAACTCTGAATTGAGTTTCTCTACTATCATCAATCATAGAAGGATGAGGTGGAGGAGGCACTGTTCCTCCTCCCAAGCCTCTAACGAAAGGTGGTTGATGAACCGGAGCTTGTAAGCCACTGTAAGACCCACCTTTCATCGAAGGAGGAGGAGGTCCTCGATTTCTACCAGACATTATCTTAGAATCGTTCCAAACTGCTAACAGAAACCAAAACTCTCAAGGCTCAAAAGCTACAAAACTTCAGAAAGCCTTATCCTCAATAAACGGCAACGGAGTCTCAACAGTAAGCAGAAGCGCAATTACAATTCTGGAGAGCTCTAAAACGAAAAGGTCTACAAACTCAGAATCACGAACTGACCTTCGACGACGCCCAACAGAAGCTTTTTACACAGGAGAAAACACAAATTAGGGTTCCTGATAAAACACCTTGTTATCAAATCGGGGATCGATCAACTTAGAACTCTTCGAAGAACGCTCGCGCAACTGTAGGAAGGAACTCGATTGCGTTCAGATTAATCAAAACTTTCAAAATTCTAATTTCGCCGGAAGCCTCCTATAGAGCGGAGAAGGTTCGATTAACACTACATAGTGGCTTTCATTGGTAACACGTTTTGTCTACAAAATAGGCGATGAGAAACTTATTGCTTTTAACCGGGTGTTATTATTTAACCGCTCAATTAAATTCACCGAGTTGTTTCTACTATCTTTCTTAACCATTTTCCATTTAACCGTTTTCTCTACAACGAATAAAGAAAAATTTACCGTGTCATTTGATTTGCCAATCGGACCCGGTTAAATTTAGTTAATTAGTCCTTCTATTTTTTGTATTTACAGTATTTATCTGTTCAACTATCTTGATCTCATTTTTGACCCATTTGTTTCGAATTTTTAAGTCTACTCCTTCATCTTTAATTCGTGCATGGTACCACTACTACCACAGGTCCACACCAACAAGAACATGAACAGACGACGTTATGTGGCTCGTGATGTCATAAACACCATATGTCCCCACTAGCTATAACGTGATATAAGATTCCATAAGATATACTCATACAACAAATCATTTAATTAACCTTCATATCGTCAAAAGATAAAGAAAAAAATCAATCAATCCAAATTTTGACTATCTACCTTATAATAACAAGTTCTTCATTCAATTTTCTAGCAAATTTTGAACCAAAATTTAACATTAACTCTTAGCTTAAGGTTTACACACCTTTCCAGAACCTTACAATCATACAAAACGTAACAATCCTACGACTATAATAACAAATGATACATTTAATTTTTTCTATGAAGCTATTAATTTGGTTAGATTCCGTTACGTAGACTACAACGGGTAAATTTAATACCACAATTACATCAATACTCAAACACAATGAAGCGTCAAGGTGAGAGACGAAATATTCGATTGATGGGTAGATAAAACTATAGGTTATAAATATCATAATGATGAATAAACCTTTAACGGTGGAATTCACATGAAGCTCACCATTATCACCTATATACTTTGCTCTCACTACAACTGAGACCACCTAAAAAAGACCCTCAGGTTTAACAAAAATGGAAGCCTTGTGGAACTTGGAGGAGAAACTTAAGCTAACAACGAAAGAAGCAGTTGCGATCTTGGTCGGAACAGCGGCTGCAGTGACTCTACTCTGCATAGCCGCAGCGTTTCTCAACCGCAATTCTCGAGGGAAGCAAGTAGCAGACGCCGAGTGGGCGTTCGAAGCAGCGGTTAGATCTAGAGCTATGGAGGAAAAGAAGATATGTAAGTGGAGCAAAGTGAAGAGAACGTTGATGGGTTCTTTTTGTTGGAGCTCTGCAGCGAAGTGGATGGAGATGGAGAAGCGGAGGCCGCCTCCGTTGCTTGCTGCTAAAGAAAGGAGTCTTAATGCGGTTGATCCAGTTTGGCAGCGACCGATTCTGATGGGTGAGAAATGTGAATTGCCTCGTTTTAGCGGCCTTATATTGTATGATGAACGTGGCCATCAGCGTCATCATCCTCAACTTCAAGAACAAGTGAGTATTAGTTTACTCCCTATCTATATTAGTTGTTGTTTTTGGTCAGAGAGATGGATATATGAAAGTTCTTGTCATTGCTGTTTTGTAGGTAAAGCAGAGTTCTATGGTAAGAACAACTTTGAGAGATTTGCTCTGACAATGGTTTTCTTTGCAAAGAAGTCTACTGAAGTTTCGTGTACTACAAGTTAAAACCGCGATGAAAGGTCAGAAAAAAAGAAAATGTTTCTGTAAACAATGTCCTATGTGATGTAGATGCAAATCTTCTTTCCTTTTTTTGTGTGTTCTTGATTGCTTGGAGGGACAAAAGAGAAGCTTAATCTTATTATGAACAAACTTTTTCCTACAGATAGTTGAATTTTGTGTGTGTCTGTATTGATTGCTTGGAGAGACAAAGAATGTAAAATTCTTATATGCATCTACAGAAAACAAGCATTATATGGACATTGTTCTTCAAACTATCAACCCACCAGAGATTTACATCTCAAAGAAACAAAATCTTATGAACAAACAAATAGAATTTCATGAAAAAGGAAAAAGAAAAAAACAAACAATATATGGACACAGGTTCTTCAAATTGACCCACCATAGATTTGCATCACACAAACAACAAAACTCTCACACCAGTGAATCTGTCATTTGTCTTCAGATCATCTTCAGCAAATGAGCCATCAAAACTGAAAAATAACTCCATCCTTCGATCATGACCAGAAGCCGAGAGGATAAACATCTTCGCGCCATGAGAGAACGAAAGCCGGTAGATATAGTTACAAGAAGCTACACAAAAGTAGACAACAACAATAACAACAAAGAATCTTGATGTCACCACATCTCCTGGTTTTTTTTTTCCCCACAGTAGATTTGCTTCTTTGTGCTAATTTCACACGTAAGAAACAATCAAAGGCTCTTTTATTTCTTCTGCTGTCGAATTCCTGTGGTAGTAACAGTACAAAGCCAGCTGCACTATACCAAGAATGGTTCCTATTCCATTTGGTGTCTGAATAGGGACAGAAACAAGAAATTTTGTTAATACTGTAATGAGAAAAACACAGATTGCAATAGCAATTGTAGTAGAGTTACTTACATAAACAAAGGCGTCGCTGTTGAATAACCCGTAAAGGAAGAAGGAAGCGCTCATCAAGAAAGTCGATAGAGAGAGATAAAACGGCATAAACTCAACGCTCTTAGTCCGAATCACTAGGTTCTGTAAAGACAAGACAAGTCAGGCAATCGAAGAAAGCTGCACATTTTGGAAAGATTTGTTGACATTTTTTTGGGAACTTACAATAACAAACAAAGGTGAGGCAAACATCGAGACAAGAGAACCGCAGCTCAAGAACCCGACAAAGTACCATCGTGTGAGCTGGTCAGGTATCTGCAAACTTCCAGCTACAATCACTCCAACCACAGCAAACACCACAAAAAGCAAACCAAGCATTCTCATCTGCCATGATCAAAACTTTACTTAGAGGAGTTACAGAAGATAAACAATTTTTTACTGTGAGTAAAAAAAAGTAGAATCAAGTAAAAGAAACCTTGTTCTTCTTATCGGTATGCAAGATGAAGAGGATAATGTAGCAAAGCTGGAAAGTGGCTCCAACAGAATTGACAGTCATAAGCATGGCATTGCTGTGTGATATGAAAGGTGTGCCATACCAAAGGCAGATTAAGCAGTTCAAGAGAGCGTAAATGTATGGTAAACCCGAGAATTGCTCGGTAGATTTGTTCCTCATGATTCTCCTAAACGTTGGCCTGAACAAAAAAAAAAAAGACAGATATCAGTGAAGTCCATAGATCAAGAAAACTTGTGTTTAATACAACGAAGGAGCAAGTGCCACTGTATCAATAAGCGAAGAAGAGAAACTCACGTTGGTGAAACGAACAGCCCAAATGCAAATATATTGCCTGAACACAGAAGAGCAATGAAACAGTGATAAGTGATAGTAAATTGCATCAACGCTGTTTCTACAAAATCAGGGATTTCTTGAATTCTCCAAGAAAATTGATCAGAGACAACATTTTGGTTCTTATTAACGTTGTAACAGTGCCTAGAAGTATAAAAGTTTAGACCAAAAATGGCCAAAGAAATATACTGAATTGGGGATATTCATAGAATGGAACCTAAACCAGATCTGGTCACATACTTTGTTAAAATAAAAATAAAAATAAAAAATGGAATTTAAATGTTGAATATTCCCCAAAATTAGCTTAAATTTAACCCCCAAAAAAAAAAGTGAATAGATTGAAGTTAAATTACCTGCGATTCCGGCAATATCTTTACACATGGATAAAGACCCATTGAAAGCAAAGACATACATGAGAGAAGCTTCTCTGTCTTAAATTCTCTGGTTTTTCTTTTCTTGCTCTGTTCTTGTGGACACGCGGGTTAAAACGCCAAACAGATAAGTAATAGAAACTGAGATTTGTAGAGAGATTTCTTCTTAAAGAAATGAAAACTGATAACCCAGAAACCAAAAAGAAGACTTTCTTTAAAAGGTAAGGAGCAAAACACTCAATGCGTACGACCTATATATATGCGGTCCAGATTTGGCTTTGTCGACTGTTCTTTACTATCTTACAAAGAAAAATATTTTTTAAAAAAAAAGTGTCGAAAAGTTTATATACTCAAACAGTAATTTTTTAAAGAAACTTGATGTTGGACTAATAGACATGGTTGAATCCATTAATTATGATGTGGTGTAGAAGGTTGAAAAGGTTAGAAAAATCATGCATAAGAGAGACAGTTATTAATTGTGTTCTTTGTGGTAAGCTGTAAACATTGCTTCCCGTCCACATTGATCCCCCCAGCTTGATTTGTTTTTTTCGATATTGATCTCCACTTTTGTTATCTGATACTTGCTGACCAATCATTTATTTGATGTTTGGATTGAGTTTTTTTTTTTTATTAGCTTTATTTTGTGGTCTACGTTTGACATTCTTTCACAAGAAGAACTTTTTTTTTTTTTTGTAAACGATAGAGAATAGAATAATAATTAACATTTGGTGGTCGTGTGCTCTCTACTTCAAAGTTCAAACAAGCTGTCTTGGGTCGTGGTGCATGTGCCTCGCGCTGAGTCACTCATCGTAATCTTAAAACCCTGAGGATGCAAAATCTAATGGTACACGTAAATCACAACTTCTCTTACAATTTATAAGTTTTTATTTGTCTTTATCAAATATAAAATACAAAAATATAGATTTGTAATCTCCAATGAGACACGTTAATTACACTTTTTTGACTAGTTGCATGTTTGTTTTTTCCTTGTGAGAGAACAACTCCCATTTGTTTTCCAGGAAACCAAACCATCATAATCTTAATATTATTTTTTTTGGTGAAAAAAGGCAATGATGAAAGATTAGAAGCATCATAATCTTTGCCTCTCATCTGGTCAACACGTTCCCTAGCCTAGCGATCGAGACGCTTAATATTACAGTTAAGAAACAATCATTAACGTTATGTGAACTTATTATCGATCGGTGCCGTATATGTGAACTATAAATTTATAACATATTACGTTAGCGAGTGAATGAATACAGAAACTGTATGTTTTTTAAAAGATTGTTTAGAAACCCCCACCCAGCTTGTGAAGAAATTCACGTTATCCAATAAATCTTTAGTTTTTTTTCTTAAACAGAATACTGATTGAATAGTTAAATATTAAGCCATGTCACTGATGACATATGTTAAAGGCGAAGCCACGCGATCTGTTTAACAAAGCGTGTAATCAATATTCATATCTTTAAATATATTACGCAAGTATTTTGTGTAATATTAGGTTATATAAACTGGGACACGTTTGTTCATCATTACGCAGACTAGAGCATGGAGAATGCTGATTTTATTAATGTTTTAACATAGATCTTAGGATATATATATAATAATTATGTTTGATAAAATATTTGAAATAAAAAATGAAATATAGTCACCATCGCCAACCTATGCAAAACATTTTATTTAAATATTACATGAGTTATCTAACGCCAACATTATAATAATTAAATGGTTAAGCTTATCCAGTTATCCAATTTAATTTCAAAAAATTATTATACGTTTCATATTTGGGGTGAGACGGTGAGTACATTTATAATGTTACGTAAGATTTAAGAAGTATCAATTGAATTCAACGAGAAAAACACGTGAAATTAAGGCAAAAGAAAAGTCATTAAGGAGACTTTTGCGATTGGTTATCATTTTATTGCCGTGCACTCTTAATAACGTCTTTGGTTTTTAAAATGCTTATAGCCATGATAATACTATTTAATTAAACGGAAGAAGAAGAAGAAGAAAAAAGCAATAAAAATTAAAAATTTGTCTAGTTATAATCAGGACCTTGTCAAATTAAAAATTTATGATTGATGAATTATTGTCTTAGAAAAAGTATGAGAGGCATAATAAATCGATGGATCACATCAAGTAGTAAACGTGCAAATACTTTGCCTCTCGCAATCTGTTAAAATACATGTGGATGAGGATTGATACGTAAAAGTTGCTTAAATGAACACAATTAATGTCGTATCTTTTATCACATACACAATAAATGTGATTGCGAATGCGAGAGTCGTATTCGTATAGGCCCAAATCAATAAACAAGGCTTACTGGCTACTGCTAATAGGCAAATAACTAAGTCTAAGATCTAATAAATCGGCCACGTAAAGCCAAGCCTCGTTCATTTTCTAATCAACTTTAGTGATCACTGATCAACCGAAACTTTTGCCGTACAAATTAAAGAAGCTAACCTGATGGCTAATGAGGAGAGCACCCTGGCCTCTATGTTATATACTCCCACAAATGTTGTGTTTCATCCCAAAGTAGTTAAGCTGTTGTTCCGATTTTTTTAGTTCCTTTTCTAAATATGCTAATGTCACTCAAACACTTCATGTGTGAGTGAATGTGGGCATGTGGCAATATCTCAACTAAAAATCTCACAGCAATTTTCGTAAACAAAATTTAAATTCTTAAATTAAATAATAGAAAACATAGGGGGAGGGGGGAATTAAACTCACAAGTTAGAAAACAACAAAATATATAAAGGCATAGTTTATTGTTGTTTGTTTTTTTCGGTTTGGTTGGCTCTCATGGACGGAGGTATTTGGTCTGAAAACATGGTTTCCATCATTTTAGTCCAGAAGTCAACATCCTTGAGTTTCAGCTCCATCTCCTCAATCTTCTTCTCCACCTTGTTCAGCTTCTCTTGGGTCTCAAGATCCTTATTTTCGTATAACATTGATGGAACTGCTGAACTCGCTCTGACATCGTCCTCCATTGACCCAATTGCTAACGTTCTGTCTTCCTTTGTTTGAACTTCCTTAGAAACCACAAAATTATATTTAAAATATAGTTAGATAATAGTTTTATAAAATTAATGTGTTGTTACCTCTTTGTAGATGGCATCTATTTCAGTTTGGGTGGGATGGTTTGACTGGACGGAGTCATCGCCTACGGCTTGAGACATATGAGTTTGTCTCTCCTCCTCCTCCACTGCTTTGCACTTCTCAACTAGCAACTCAGATCTTTCGTGGATTTCCTCTATGGAGGTGACCGTGTCAAGGGGTTCACCAGTCTCCTCGTCCCACTTTAATTGGGATGAGGCATAAGTGCCACTTATGTCGATTGTCTTTAGAATTTCATACAAAACAGAAGCAATTCTGCGTGCGTTTATCATCTTCTCTCGCTGACTATTAAGATAAATTTCCATAGGTCAGTACTGTTGGCTCCCTCATAATTGAACTATAACTAGCAATAGCTAGTGATCAGTAGATTTTTTTATTAATTTTTTAAAAGTCGAGGATACCTATCATCCAAATTGAATGCTGCACCATGTGTGATAATGTATTCCTTGTAAGCATGGTAAACACGTTTGATTTCCTTAATATCATTTATCTCCTTTCTTCTTCTCACAGTAAACTCATCATCCTACAAGGAAGCAAAGAAGACAAACAACAACGAAAACTAAACAAAATCGTGTGTGTTTAGAAAATTCATGAATAATCCAGAGAATATAATGGCCCAGATTATATTTATATGATCGGTCATATACTCTAATTAAACGTTAATAACTTTAACAAAATCATAGACTTAATAAACGAGCTAGAATCAGTATCCCGGTCTACTATTGGATGACTTGCCTTCTCAAGCCCTTGAAGAAGAGAGTTTTTGAACTGCCGTACACCTCTTCCGGTGGAACTACTGTCAATGCGATGAGCTTCCTCAAAAGTATAAAACCGGCCTGCCACAAAAAGAAAAATAAAGATTAACATAGAAATTATTATGAGTCTTTAAAACAAGAGAAAATTCAAAAATAGTAACCATAATTGACCTAAACGCTAGGGAAGACGAGAGTATAACTAAACTCACAAAGATAAGCAATACGAGGTTCTTCAGACTCAACCAAGTTTGCTACACGAAGAAACCTTTGAATCCCTGAGGCTAACGTCTCCGGAAGCTTCTCGCTGTGATAGGGCTCCCAAACATATTGTTCATGAAAAGTGAGGGATCTCGTGAACTGGCGGCTGGTCGGGGAATCTTCCGGGAATATGGGATCCATATCAACAAAAACATCGGAGGGATCCACGGGGACGATTTCGTGAGACATATTTGGGAGACAAAAGCTTATTGTTCTATTGTTTTGGTTAGCATGGGTGATTGATAGGTGGAGATGCACGGAAACGAATTATATAAAGCGCCAATTACTTAGCGAGGTGGGTCTTCATGGCAGGTAAAGAATATTTAACTAAAGTGTAAAAGTGAAAATGACGTTTGTATGCTATTTGCAGGGATAAAGTGGTTTCCTAGCAATATATTTTTTCCTAGCAATATTTTACACTTTTTACAACAACAAAAGATACCAACGTGCATCGGAAAAGATATAAAAACAAAAACAAAAAGTGTGTTGAGTGTCAACCAAATCTTAATAAAATGAATTGGAATATAAAGCACATATATACTTGATGTGCATATGTGACTAATTCTTAGTCATTAAGAATATACGTACTTAATTACCAAAAGACTTTAACACATAACTAGGCTATCCAAAGATCAAACCAATTTGTTTTAAAACAAAACAAAGAATTGTTTTATTTATTTTTATAAAAACACGAGATTACAAATACTCGACGTACGAGTCGATGTCTAATGTATAGATCACTAGTGAAGTTTGATATATAAATGCTAGTTTCGTAGTTTGTACTAAATAGACATGCATGCGTATACGAGTCCTGGAGATGGTGACTAAAGAGACCATGGGCCGTGGGTTTATGGGCTTTATATTATGCTTTGTAAGCAAAGCAAGTCGTATCTACTACTCTACTGTATGTCTGTATATTATTATTATTATATAATTTTTTTCTTTTCTCATTTTTGTTAGTTAACATGTACAGTAGTAATTCACTCACATTGTGTTTACAGTTTTAGAGGCTTTTACTAATGATATAAAAAACTGATTTTTATTATATTAAAAAATAATACTATTTATGTTTATAAATTATACAAAAAAATGGTAATACATGCAGCATTTAATATAGAAATTGTGAAACGGAAACTTATGCGGACAAATAGAAATTTCTACGTAACGCTATATTACCGGTTAATCAATCTATAAATGATAGTAGTAGCAATAAATATCAGGTGAAATAAAAAAGGAAAGAAACAAAAATTAAAGAGAGAGAGAGAAGCGTAATAAATGGCAAATTAGTCATTTAAAAGTCGCCCCTGGTTCTCCGTAACTGTCTCCTCTTCTATTTGGTTCTTCTCTTCCCTCTCTTTCTTCCTTTCCTTTCCTTCTTCACTCCTTTATTTATATATTTATATATATATCTTCTTCTTTCCCCCATTGATCTCTCTCTCCGTCTCCACGATTTTTTCTCCCTCTCTCTCTACTCATCTCCGGAGATTCTTCAAAGCTTTAGATTCATCCTGATCTGAATCGATCCCTGTGGTACGTGAACTCTTCTTTTGCTTTCCTATTTCTGTTTTGATGATCTCTGAGCTTAGTTTTTGAATGTACGTGCTCTTGCTGCGTTTGATGCGATGTTCTCAAGTTTTTTTATTTTCCTCTCTTCGGTTTATGATTTATGATGCTTTCTCATCGTTTTCATTTGGATCTGCTGCTCAATCTTGGGAGATTTTAGCTTTATTTGATTGCTATACATTTGATATAGAAGTTCTGGATCTAGATCTGATCATTTTTAAATTTCGGTAACAGCTCTAGCTTTTCGTGATAATGGCATGGTTGTAGTTGCTTAATGAACTGAATCACGGTGGTGAATAGTGGTGTTTTTCTAAAAAGGGATAGATCTGAATGGTTCTGCTTAATTGCAGTCTATCTGTTTGATTAAATTACATTTGGAATTTTGCTCGGGTCTTATGTAACTTTTGTTCTTGGAATGATCGTGGCAAGATGGGAGTTCTTTCTTTTTTATGCAATTTCATTGTTTTTGATGTTGCAGATAATTAAATTTTCACATTCACATGGCTACTTATAAGCCTAAGAACATCCTCATCACTGGGGCTGCTGGATTCATAGCATCCCATGTTGCCAACAGACTAGTTCGTAGTTACCCTGACTACAAAATTGTTGTGCTTGACAAGCTTGATTACTGCTCCAACCTCAAAAACCTCAATCCTTCTAAATCATCTCCCAACTTCAAGTTTGTCAAAGGAGACATTGCCAGTGCTGACCTCGTCAACTACCTTCTCATCACTGAAGAAATCGACACCATCATGCACTTTGCTGCTCAAACTCATGTCGACAACTCTTTCGGTAATAGCTTTGAGTTCACCAAGAACAATATTTATGGTACTCACGTTCTTCTAGAAGCTTGCAAAGTCACTGGCCAAATCAGGAGGTTCATCCATGTGAGTACTGATGAGGTCTATGGAGAGACTGACGAGGATGCTTCTGTGGGAAATCACGAAGCTTCTCAGTTGCTCCCTACCAACCCATACTCTGCAACTAAGGCTGGAGCTGAGATGCTTGTGATGGCATATGGTAGATCGTACGGGTTACCAGTTATAACAACTCGTGGGAACAATGTTTATGGTCCTAACCAGTTCCCGGAAAAGTTGATTCCTAAGTTCATCCTGTTGGCCATGAATGGGAAGCCTCTCCCAATCCATGGAGATGGATCCAACGTTAGGAGTTACCTCTACTGCGAAGATGTTGCTGAGGCATTTGAGGTTGTTCTTCACAAAGGTGAAGTTAACCATGTCTACAATATCGGGACAACGAGAGAAAGGAGAGTGATTGACGTGGCCAATGACATCAGCAAACTCTTTGGAATAGACCCTGACTCCACCATTCAGTTTGTGGAGAACCGGCCATTCAATGACCAGAGGTACTTCCTTGATGACCAGAAGCTGAAGAAATTGGGATGGTGTGAACGAACCACTTGGGAAGAAGGACTGAGGAAGACAATGGAATGGTACACTGAGAACCCTGAGTGGTGGGGCGACGTTTCTGGAGCTCTGCTTCCTCATCCACGGATGCTGATGATGCCCGGTGACCGACACTCTGATGGCTCCGATGAGCACAAGGAATCTGATGGTAATCAGACATTCACGGTGGTTACTCCAACCAAGGCTGGTGGTTCTGGAGACAAAACATCCTTAAAGTTCCTCATCTATGGGAAGACTGGTTGGCTCGGTGGTCTTCTGGGAAAACTATGTGAGAAGCAAGGGATTCCATACGAGTATGGAAAAGGAAGACTAGAAGACAGAGCATCTCTAATGGCGGATATTCGCAGCATCAAACCAAGTCATGTCTTCAACGCTGCTGGTTTAACTGGTAGACCCAATGTTGACTGGTGTGAATCTCACAAAACTGAGACCATCCGAGTCAATGTTGCTGGAACTTTGACTCTAGCAGATGTTTGCAGAGAGAATAATCTGCTGATGATGAATTTTGCCACTGGTTGCATATTCGAGTATGACGCTGCACATCCAGAAGGTTCAGGGATTGGTTTTAAAGAAGAAGACAAACCGAACTTCACCGGTTCTTTCTACTCAAAAACAAAAGCAATGGTAAGATACTATCACATAACCAAACCCATCTGATCCTCAATCTCTCAAAACACTTTCCATAAAAATTCTCTTGTTTCCATTTTTGGCAGGTCGAAGAGCTCCTAAGAGAATTTGACAACGTGTGCACCTTGAGAGTGCGGATGCCAATCTCCTCTGATTTAAATAACCCGCGTAACTTCATCACAAAGATCTCACGTTATAACAAAGTGGTGAACATCCCAAACAGCATGACCATACTAGACGAACTTTTACCAATCTCAATCGAAATGGCGAAGAGGAACCTAAGGGGGATATGGAACTTCACCAATCCAGGAGTGGTGAGCCACAATGAGATTCTAGAGATGTACAAGAGTTACATCGAGCCGGATTTCAAATGGTCCAACTTCACCTTGGAAGAACAGGCTAAGGTCATCGTTGCACCACGGAGCAACAACGAGATGGATGGTGCCAAGCTCAGCAAAGAGTTTCCAGAGATGCTTTCCATCAAAGATTCTTTGATCAAATACGTCTTCGAACCCAACAAGCGGACGTGAAACACACACACTTCCTCTCTCTGTGTTCACTATATAATGTTTCTACTTTAATTTGATTTGATTTATCATACGATTCATTTACTCTTTTGCATTTTACGACTTACATGTAGCTCTTCTCACATTCACAACACATCTTTGTTTACATTAATATTTTTACACAGATCAATTAATTTGAGTTTACTTTACTGTCATTCTTGATTCCTCATTTCCTAGTGCTGTTATAATGAAATGTTTGTTTCCATGTCAAGACAAGGAAAAGGGTTGCAGACAGAGAATAAAGAAACAAAAATGACTGATTTAACTTATTTCCCTTTGCTTTTAAAACTTGAGGATTCTATTTGTTACAAGAACAATATCTCTCATATGTTGTTAATCTTCCTAACGCATAAATAGAAACTGCAAACTCAAATGCAAAATATATTAAACCTCTGTACTTTATGTCCCCATCTTTGCCACACAACCATACAGCATTTTGCTTTCTCTTCACCACCTTTGAGAACTATTGTGTGACATTACATAATCTGTTCATCCTACCACAATTGAAAAGCAATAATGTTCATGTGTATTGCGAGATAAATAAAAGACTTCTCATTCTTAATAAAGATGTAAAAATGATGAAAAAAACGGTGGAAGAGAGGAACAGAAAGAGCTCAGTACCTTGAATTTTGTTCTCTCTTCATAGAGTCTGAGGGTATTGTCTAGATAATGGTAGCATTTCTTGGCTCGTTATAAGATTTAAAAGCAGAGTCAGTAGGAGTTGAAGACTGACTGGCTTTTGAGTTCTTATAAAGGAGAAGAAGACTTAAATAGAGTTTGGTATTGTACCTTCTGTTTCTGTAGACAACCAATCATGTGCACAGAACAAAGCCTGTCTAATATCAGGGTTTAAGGAGCTCTGGCTATCAGCGATCATCGGTGTCCCAGAGTTAAATGTTGAATCAGGCGCAATGATTGATATCGGTGTCCCCAAAATGTCACGTGCCATCATAGAGAGGATAGGGTATCTCGGTGTGTGGACCTTCCAGTAATTCAGAATATTGAACTCGCCACTACGGGGGAAGTTCGGTTCAGACAAGTACTTGTCCAAATCCGATGTTGTGTTCTGGTTCTGAGAAGTCTCATGGAGAAACTTATCAAATCCTTTCAATCTGTCTCTAGTGTCCATAGCTCTACCTAATCCCGAGCCAGAGAAAGAAGAGTCTTCACCGACAATGGCTGAGCACATGGAATATGCATCAAGAAGCTCCTTGACACCATTCGACACTTCCTTGATACGATCCAGAGCGGTACTGCCATAGATCTTAGAGTAGTAATACTCTACCAACTTCATCTTATATCGCGGATCCAATATCGCAGCGATTGCTAAAACAAGGCTACATTTGTTCCAATACTCATCGAATTTAGCCTTCATACTTGCTGCAAGAGAACTCAAGAAATTGTCCTGGTTCTTGCACCACTCGATCAACTGGATATGGATATCACACATCTCAGGAAAGTATACATTTGCTGTCGGGCATTTGTTTCCTGAAAAGTCAGAGGCAATATCGAATACAAGTTTAAGATAACCGGTAACGTATCTTGTCCATTCCCACTCCTCATCGGTTAGAGATGAATCAAACCCGTGATCGTGATCACGTAGATGGCAAAACGCACCCTTGTACTCCAGTACGGTTTCAAGCATCACGTAAGTAGAGTTTGAGTTAACAAGAGAATCAAGAACCAAGATCTTGTGGGAGTTGATTCCAGCGAGTTGAGCAATTTCATTGAACCTTACTTGTGCTGATTGTGAGCTCTTGACATATCTCACACTTCCTCGAATCTTTTGGATCACATCTCTCATAGCCTCCAAGCAATCTTGGACAAGAGAATTTAGAAGATGAGCGGCAGATTTCAACTCAAACAACTGCCCGTTGATTAAGATCTGGCTGCTCTGAGACATGTGGTCTTTAATTCGCAGGACAATCTCTTCATTAACAGAAAAACTGTCAAACGTTACAGCGAAAAGCTTGCTCTCAAGCCTCCATTCAATCAAACATCTGATGATTACTTCGGAGAGCATGTCTTCAGTATGAGAAGGATCCAAGGTGATAAAGTTTAGAACATTCCTGTGTAGCCTCCATTCCTCATCAATATAATGAGAGGCCAAACACACATAGTTAGCATTATCCCGTGAAGACCACATCTCCACTGAAAGATTGATCTTGCCGTACAAATTATTCAGAGTGTGCTGCACCCTCTGCTTCTCCCTCATGTAAATCTCCATACATGAATCCTCAATTGTGCTATTTGGCACAGCTTCAAACAACGGCTGAAGATTCCTAGCAAACACTTTGAACCCAACATGATCAACCATGGCTAACGGATAACCATGCATAATAATCATACGTGCAAGATCAACCTGACTCCTTTCTTGACTGAACCTTCCTCCACTTCCTCGGCTTAGAACCACCTCGTCCCTACGTTGTTCCTGATCGAACTTAGGTCTGAGATACTCGTCTTTCGGTTGACCCTCATCAAAACTGATAGTAGCAACAGTAACTGGATTCTCTTTCTTCCTTCTTTTAGGTGTCAGCAACTGAGACATGTCATGATTGGTTCTTTTGAGACACCGCATAAGATGGTTCCGAAGATGAGTTGTCCCGCTGTTGCTGGAACCACTGAGTTTCTTATTACACTGAATGCAAACAGCATAGCACACATCAGCCTTTCTCACCCTCTCAAAGTAATTCCAAACAACAGATGTCAACCTCTTTGATTTCTGCAAGATGATCTCATTTGATTCATCCATCACACAAAACTCGTACCGCTGCTCCACCAAAATCCCCTATTCATTGATTAAAACAACATAAAATTTAAGACTTTACAATGACACTGAGTGTTACAAAGATCATCTTAAAAGCACTCATCAACAATAGCATTACACAGTTATATAGCTTTGATCAAAACAAAAAAAAGATTCAACATTGCAGCAGAGATCATATCATATAAAACCTGGATACGCCACATTTTTCAACAATATCACAACATACATAAATTGAATTGAATGAAATCAATCAAAGCTAAAAACTTTCATACACTGAAAACAAAACAGAACCCTTTTGTGAAATTTGCAAACAAGGCAGAGTTTTTGATACGAAGAAATTAGCCAAGAAAGTGAGGGACGAACAGAGCAAAAGCAAAAGGTTTGAAATTGAGGCACCTTTGTTTATAAAAAAAAAAGGCCGTCAGAATCTGTGGAGACTAGAATCGGAGGATCCGAGGAGCTCTTTTAAGGGTTACGGGTGGAAGAAGCTGGATCGAAGTATTATCAGATCCGATGGACGATTTGGGTTTTAAAGACCCGGATTTAGGTGTTCCGGGTGGGTTAACCCAAAACAAGAAAAACCGGATCCGATTCAGGATCCGAATTAGATCCCTGGTTCGTTAATATTTGACAAGTAACGCGGCCCTTGGCGTGGTTGGATAGATCTTGTTCCCGATCCGATCTCAATTAATCCGATATTCTAATTTTTATTTGTTAATCAAAGTATAATTCAAAATTAAAGTCGTCTGGATTAATGTTTAATTTAAAAAATTGTGTGATTAATAAGTGATAATTATTATCAAATCACATTATGGGAATGTATGCTTAGGTAAAGAAAGAATTTGCAAAAACAAAAATGAATTACATGGTGTTTAGTACGTTTTATTTTTTTTTGCTGAAATGCAAATATCATAGATATGAAAAGTTTGGTTTGACAACCATTACAACATTGGTTTCCTGGCAAAAAAAGTGGAAAACAGGAAAGCAATACAACTTCTGATAAAAAAAACCACAATAACAAACTCTTAAGGATCAATCCTTTATGAGCCACCTAGCCATTAGGGTTCTGAAACTCTTCTTGATTCTCCTTGCCATAATGGAGTTCTTGATTTCCCTATCGATGTCTCTGAAGAGCAGCGAGGGTAAAGTATGAACCTGATAATGCACCACGTTTAGTACGTTTTAGAAACAAAATGTTCTTGTTTAGGCGGATTTGATGTATTTTTATCAATCTTTTCCTCCTCCATAAATTGAATCATTCCATAAAGTTCTAATTTTTTTTACAATTGCGCCTTCATTTCATTGATTTAGTAGAAGAATATCAAAAAATGTCTCAAGGCCAAAAACTTAGCTACAACAATAACTACTTAAACCATCACAAACTACTACTTCAACAAATAACTTTTACAAAACCACACATACATATTATATACACAAAATAATTCATAATCTAGCTTCTTTCGCATAACTCAATAAGAAAAAGTTATCATTTCTCTCATTCTCTAGCATCTTTTCAATTCAAGGACCGCGTTGTTGCATCCACGAAGGAGGAATGCGATCTGAAGTCATTGGACTAGCCGTAGGAGGGAGACTTCGAACATTAATGTTAAGAGGGTATAAACGATACTCGATATCAAGCTCTCTACAAGCTTTTCCCACTTCCTCTAGTAATAGGCCTCTTCTTATATACCTCTCTCCCATGTCTTGATGATTCATTCTATGTGTCAACCACACCGCGATTTTCACACTATTCAAGTTATCCATACTTAGGAATACAATCATAGGTGCTGGATACCAATAGTCCTTCTTGTTGTCTACATAACTGCATGAAATTAAACATACGAATATTAATGTTAAGAAACCTTTACATTCTAGAAACTTGGGTTTAAGTATATTATTTAGGACGGTTTAGGGTTTAACTAACCTGAGTATTCTTTGTTTAATAGCAGCTATCTTTTCAGGAGGAGTTGCTATATGGATACAGAACTCGACCGCGTCTCCCATATCAGGACTTCGGTAATAGTTAGCTATTGGCTTTGTGCCGAGAACACTATTCGGGTATATGATCTTCTGATTATCATATCGCAAGAAAACAGTCGTCAATATGTTCATCTCCTCCACGACCAACTGATACATAAACAATTAATATGTTAGAACAAAGTCACGATATCATTATAAGCAAATCAATTTTATATTATATTAGGGAACAAACCTGAACACCGTCGATTTCGCAGCGGTCACCGACATCGAATGGGTGCATAACGAAAAGGAAAATGATAGCTTCGAAGATGGTTTTGCATGAGTTTCCGAATACAAAAGCTACTAGAAGAAGCTGAGAGCTTAAGACTAGCAAGAATCTGGTTGTGGCGATTCCTAGTATAAGAAGCCAGATGATTATGATTATAATGCCAATCAACACGTTGATTATACGGTGAAGCCTATTCACTGCAGTTTTTGTATCGTTTAAGGTCAAAGCCAGAGCCCTCCGTTCTCTAAACGCCTTAACCTGTGAAGAAACCACGAGATTAGATAACTCTGTCTTCATGAAAAAACATTCTTGACATATATCGAAGTTGAAACTTACCACCCAATTCTTGAGGCAAGACTTGCTGATCTTATGGCTCTCTGAAACTCCTTCGAAGAGAGCCATAGCTCTTTCAGACTCCTCTTCACATAGAAAACGCAAGAAGTCTTCCAAATATATGTACCTAAAAACCAAATTAAAAGATCCTCTCAATTAGTTATAGCTGAAATCATATTAATCAAGAACTTTGAGAAAATTATAGCTTTATATATACCTTGAACCAGGCTCGGTGACATTGTGGAAAATCTTTCTAGCTGCACACTTAGCTTCGTACTCGCTTCTTATTTGAGTAGCGTCTTCCTCCTCCTGAGTTGTGTCCTGAATCTTTTGATCCAAAGTAGAAAGAGCGCCTTTTCGTATAATGTTCATCAATCTCTTCATGTTCCAAGCAGATACATTCTTTGTGTTCATTCTTTGCAAATGATCAATCCTTATCCCTTCGCTATCTTCTCCTTTCTTGGAACCAAGCCGAGTCAGCCCAGGTCCTCTCCCGACTTTCATAAAACTTTTAACAGTCTCCTTTAGAGCTGGAGGCAACTTAGCTCCAGCTAATTTCTCTAAGATTTTAACATCTTCTGTTACTTTTAGCTCCTCTTCCTCCATTCGCTGAATCTCCATCAAAGGAGGACCCGAGAGAGTCTCAATCACGTATTGAGTGAACAACGACTCCTGGATCCGATCAAAGTAAGTGCTCATGTGGAACGACGAAGCAAGAACCTTAACCAGAATTGTTTTAACCAACCAAATGATAACAGCTACAAGCAAACATACCAACACTCTCGTCACGTACCGAAGCGCCGTGCTCCGAGTCTCTCTTTCCACTTTCTTATCGAACAAGAAATGCCAAGCGAGCAACACTAGCCCTAACCACAAGCAGTTTTGAACAGATTTTCTCACACCGTAGACGAAATACAAAACCCTTTTCCTCCAAAGGAAGTTTTTCTCGACCAAGAAGACAATGATTCTCACTATCCAACTCGACACTAATCTCCCACATATCAAGACCAGAACCGTCACTTCCCATTTCCACAAATCTAGCTTCCACCATGTCTTGCGTTGCAAGCTATGTACGGTTAAGCTACATACCAGACTGGTGATTATGAGAACTAGACTTATCCATTCAAGCAAAAGCCATATGCTAAGTTTATCCCTTTTGTACTCCTCCGGCAAGTCCTCGTCTAGAAACGGATCTTCCTCTTCTTCTTCGTCCATGATCCCACCGCGACCTGGAGTACCGGCTTTAGGGCTTTTCCCAAGAAACCCAGATTTAAAAATCCCGGATCTCCGACCGGACTTCATCTCTGTTTTGTCAATCGCCGGATGTTTCGGCGTAGGAGGATCCTGCAGTCTTGATTTAGTCTTGTTCCTACTCAGCATCGGTTTATTCGAACTACACTTCACAACCTCTGCTTCGTCTCTGTTTCGTCCTTCTTCGTCGCTACTTCCACCAAGGGATATTCTGTTCTGCCTCCGTCTCACAGCGTCGGCTTTAACTTTGGTCGTGAACGGAGAAGAAGATTCAGAAATCGTTGATAAGCCATGTCGCGGCGTGTTGCTTGTAGTTGCAGCACGTGGCGGCGTGTTGCTCTGTAGCTCAGCCATGTTAAGCTCAACATCAAGAGAGATCTCGTCTCCTGAAGCTCTCTGCTTGTGGAGGAACTGCCTAATCAGCTTCGACGGCGGGTCAGATAACTCAACAGACTTATGCCTCCGCTGCCTGAAATGGAAACTGCCGCCGTCTTCGTCGTCGTCGTCGTCTCCTTTCTTATCATTCTTACCCTTTTCACCATCCCAGAAATCATAACTAGATTCTTTCCAAATAGAACCTCCCTCAGCATTGCTGCTTGACCCTGTAGCACCACCGACGGCTCCACTCTCTTGGCCGTTGATGTTCACGATGAAGTCCCGCCGATCAGTTGAATCGACGGCCGCCATGATTCGTTAGAATCTCACAAAGGCAAAAAGCCTAGATTTTCTAACGCAATTATTACCGGTAGAAACGGAGAGATGTTTATTTTATTTTTATTTTTGTTTTTTTTGGAAAGTTCATAAGAGACGAGTGACAGTGTACGATACGATCGAAGAAGAAGATGAGGGTGAGAGGTAACCAAGTGTAGTAAATGAGTGCAAAAAATAAAAATAATAAATGTTATGAAAACAAAATAGCAGGTGTATTTGGTGATAATGAGAAAGCCGAACAAAGCTTGTTCTCATGTATCAACGTGTAAAATTAAGTTTTGTTGAGGAAAGGTTTTGGTAATGCAAAACTATGTGGATGATCCATATGGTATATATATATTTGAGGATGTGATGTGATTTGGTGGTGAGTTGAACTTTGTGCTAATTGCTAAAAGCAACAAAAACAATTACAGGATAATGTCTATTTTTTTTTCTACTATATATGTCCCTAAAAAAAGTAACAATAGTGTACGGATGAAAAGGAAGGCCATAATAATGTAATTTTGTTCAAATAATGATAACAAAGGTTTTCGACTATGCAACTCCAGATTCTAGCTTTGCATATTTCTTTCGGGTAAAACCAAAGATAGATCGTGTAACAAAACGTATACATACTACAACAGGTAGTACGTAAAAAATAAAATTCATGCAATTCCATGTTCCTACTTTTAGTAGCTTCACTGACTAAATTATAAAAGAAAAAAAAATGGAGAAGAGATACTATATTCCTTTTAAAGGTAGACTAGTTTTACATGTTCTAAACTTTCGTGTTGTGGCCAATAGAAGCAAGAAAAAGAAAGAAAAAGATATAACACACTTGAGACATGTTATTATTCTTTTAATTACTCTATATATTACATTAATTCGATATAGACCTACTTTATTTAGTAAGTTTTACGAATTTGACCTAAACTAATATATTCGGGTTCATGTCACATAGCACTGAGACAATAGTATTATGCTGACTAATTGAAAACCAATTTTTTTTTTTTTTTGGTTTGGAATCATTACAAAAAAAAATCATGATTGATATATGATTTTCTTTTGCAAATCCCAATAAAAATCAGCACCACTAACTCTTTATAATAATCCTAGTACGAAGACTCGTGTCATGTTCTCAATGGTTTTGGGTATAATAAGTCAAACTATACACAAAGTTTGGCGTTTGGAAGCACAAAAACGCATCTAAAAACTCAAATCGTCTTGTTCCTACGTTTATTTTTAGAATATGCATTAGATATAGCTAAAATTTAACGGTTTTATTTGTAAAAACAAAATATCTAAAAATATTGCTTCATGGTTAAGACTTACGAGTGGTGCATGTCCCTGCTTTTTTTGTAAACTTTTCATTTTTGTTTTTAATAAAACGATCGATTGCTATATTGGTGTGTCAGTAGACAGTAATGCATATATATAAAGCATGTCAGTTATCTAATGCGATTAGCAGTTAAATAAGAATGGTTTAACTTTTTATAAGTTGTATGGAACAATACTGTGTTTCCATAATCCTTGATTTTTCGAAAGAAATTAAAAAAACTTTGCTATACGTATATATATATGCTATTTTGTATAAATCATACACGAATTTTACCATCGCTTTTGCTATGTTTTCATCATCGAGATTTATCTTTTTTTTTTTTTTTTTTTTAACCATGGCTGCAACTGCAAATAAAGCTTTTTTACCTTCAACTATAAGGGAAGGCGGAAGCGAGGAAGTAAACAAATAATTTTAAACACATGCAAAAAATGGTCCAAAAACAATCATACCAAAAATAAAATAAAATATACTCACTAGTGCCAAACTGGCTTACGTGGCTAAATATAAGCGGCGGAAAATAAATCAGCAGAAAGCCAGTTGGAGTGATAAGAAAGGTACACGTGGTTGGACGGCGTTGGTCGACCTGGCGAATAAATACAAAGGTTACGTAAGAAAACGACAGGAAAGCGACTCGTGAAGGATGAAAACGGCACACAAGCCAGATACGCAACTAAAAAAACTTAAAACTAGAGAGAGATCAATTAATTAATTATCGACATGCATATGCATTGCATGGTGGTTCTCTTCTCTCGACAGGATTGGACACTCCGTGTTAATGCTGAGTATATCTCTTGTTGTTATCACTTACTCTACTTGGATACATATCTCATTTTATACAATTCTACAGTTTTGGAATTCTTCATTTCTTCTTTGGCTTTCTCTGTTCATATTTATTTTTTTTTCATTTGGGAAAAAACAAATTTAATAGTATACATCAGTTTTTTCGTTTTATTTGAAGTCGGTTTTTTTTCTTTTTAATGACATGAATCTTTTGTAGATAAAAAAAAAAGAAAGAAAAAAATCAAAATCTAATCAGAGTTGTATCTATAATATCTCGTTTTCATATCAGACTCTTTTCATTTGGGTTTAGTTCACATTTGTTCGACTTAATTTCCTCAAATTTGTACAGTTAATCTACCTTAAACATCATTGAATGATAGCAAACAAAATCAATCAATGAATTGAATGATGGCTAAAAAGAATACAATCAGAGGGTAAACCGTGTACGGTTCTATTTTGTTTCTCAACCAAATCATGACATGTAATGAAATTACAAATGAATTAAATAAATTCTTGGTGGATGAACTTATGACAAAGAAAAGGTAGGTTTTAATGTGGTAAGAGTGAGAAAATAATATGAAAAGGATGATTTGAATTTTATTGTTTTGTGATGATCAATACGACGATCAAGAATTATATATGATGGACCACATTGCATTGGGGTTTTCGAATATCTCGGTCTAATCATCATGCATCTAATGTTTTTTTTGTCTATGGGCCATCATCTGGTTTGTGATCGTGTGAGCTTGGCACCACCGACCGCGTCGCTCACCCACGCTGCCACACATATATATTAGAAATCAACTATTAAGTCTGTAACGTAATTCTTTATGAATATATACGTACGTATATCAACATAATATATATGTAATGGTGTATATGGTTAATTAACTATCATTTTTTTTTTAAAAGACAGTATCTGTTAACTATTAAAGACGTTCAACGGTTTTGATATCATACTTATTCGACAAATGTGCCTTGATCCCTCGGATCTAACTAGTTTTCAAACATGTATACACATAAGTAAACGTAAAATTAACAAGACGTAGTAGTTGACATTTCAAAATCGTCATTGAAGATACTCACCATGGATTCGTTTTTAGAATTCGTATCATTCATTACTTTTTAAATTGTGATCATGCGGATACTAAGGTAAACATGCATTTGAAATCATCTAGCTATAACGTAACGAAGGAGTTAGACTCATATTGTAATGATTCTGTTATAGATATATAACAGACAGATCTCTTTTAAAAAGTTGTTTGGCACACACAAATTAAAGATTAATTACATTTATCTCTTGATAAAAAAATGCTAAGAAAATTGTAAATATATATACTGGTTTACACTTTACACTAAAAATTAATAATATTAAATTGGCATTTTGGCTATTAGATATCTCTATTAAAATCAACTCGTGACACATGCATGATATATGTGGTGTAGTTTCCGCAAAAAACCCTTCCGCATCCAAGTGCGTCTGCTTCCCTGATTGATACCTGAAGACCTTAATTAGTTGATCAGTGCATGCACTTTTTATGTGCTATGTACAGTAAGAAATCATAGCTGTATATACAGTGTATAATTACTACAATATATTAGTTTTATACAGTATATTCATGTATATATATGTAAGATCACTTTCTTTTTATTTAATGTACATTATGATTTTCTTTTAAAATTTGGCCTTTTTGTTTAGATTCTGTATTTGTGATTTTTATTCTTTTCTATTAAAACTGTTGCCAGATTTTTCTGTTTATTTGTTTTTAACATTTTCCATTCTTTATGTTTTAGATTATGTGTATCAACTAGATTTTCCAGACAGTATGTAAGCGTGTATATATATATGTAAGAATGTCTCTCCTTTCTCAACATCATCTTCTGAACAAAAACAAACTGTGATAATAGTTTTGTCAGATAATATTCAAGTAGACGATAGCAAGCATGGATCCGCGTTTTATAGGTTTACTATTGCTGTGTATTGTCGTAGAAGCGACCACAAGCAGTTCTGGTACGTATATACATACATCAAACTTGTTTTACACTTTAATTACAAAATAGGGACAAGAGTTCTTTTATCATCCACGTTCTAATCTTTTTTCTTGTTTGGTATGTATAAGCTCCTGGGAATAACATGACAATACCAGCACTGATAGTATTTGGAGATTCAATCATGGATACAGGAAATAACAATGACATCCCCACTCTTCTCAAATCCAATTTCCCTCCCTATGGTCGAGATTTTCCTGGTGCCATTCCTACCGGTAGATTTTCAGACGGCAGAGTTCCATCAGATATCATTGGTAACTCAATCAAATTCTCTAGCTATCTATATATCATTTTTGTCTATTTGTATCCTTAATTTTTATATCTACAATATTAATATAATATAATGTATTTTCTTTTCCAAATTAAACATTAATGCAGCGGAAAAATTAGGGATAGCAAAGACACTACCACCATATTTAGGCTCCAATCTAAAGCCAGATGATCTTCTAAAAGGTGTAATCTTTGCTTCTGGAGGTTCCGGTTATGACTCATTAACATCTACATTATTGGTACGAATATTTTTACATATATATATGTTATAACTTTTTTAATTGTCACTGTTACAAGATTCTTAATTAATTTTCTCTCGGCTTTTCTATGTATATATTATCTTCAGTCTGTAGTGTCAATGTCAGACCAACTGAAGTACTTTCAAGAATATTTATCAAAAATTAAGCAACACTTTGGAGAAGAAAAAGTTCAGTTCATATTGGAGAAGAGTTTGTTTCTAGTTGTCGCTAGCAGTAATGATCTCGCTGAGACTTATTTGGTTCGATCGGTCGAATATTCCCGTGACTCATATGCTGAATATCTTGTCGTATTGGCTTCAGATTTCATCAAAGTAAGTTTCTTTTCTATTTTTACTTTTTTTTTAATAAAAAAATTATGTATAAACCCACAACATTTAGTCGCAAAAGTAATCTAAGTTAAATGATATATCTCTAATTCTTCTAACGTTTTAGGATTTAACTGCGCTCGGAGTTAAAAACATCGGAGTGTTTAGCGGAGTACCGGTTGGATGCGTACCCGCACAAAGAACACTATTTGGGGGTTTTACAAGAAAATGTTACGAGGATTTGAATAACATGGCACTTCATTTCAATTCAAAGCTATCTTCTAGTATGGATGCTCTAAGTAAAGAGTTGCCAAGCAGACTAATATATATCGACGTTTACGAAACTCTTCTCGACATCATAGAAAATCCTAACACTTACGGTAATGATGATCATATGAACTGATGATATATTTTTCTTTCATTAACGTACGTTAAAGTTATTATTATATTGATTAACATAATTTATATATGTTTTTGATTTTTTTTTTATTGTAGGATTTGAAGTAGCAGATAAAGGATGTTGTGGTACGGGAACAATCGAGTTAATGGTGTTGTGCAACAAGTTTACTCCGTTTACATGTTCGGATCCATCGACTCATGTCTTCTTTGACGCTTATCATCCTAGTGAAAAGGCATACCAAATTATCACTGATAAGTTGATAGATAAATACCAGGATTACCTACACACTTGAATATGTTTTTATTCCAGTGATATTTCTTGAATTAGATGATTGTACTTTCACTGATTTTTTTTTCCCTACAATTAATAAGAAGGATTTTTCTCATTAACGTGATTTAATTTACGATAGTTACGTTTCTTTTGCTATTATTCTAACCGACATTCTAATTATTGTGTATCTTTGCGTCATAATAATGTAAACTTAAATTTGGCCGTAAACAACCAAAAAACACTCACGAATGTGTTTTGATTTAAGGGGGGATGCTTGTCCTGTTTGCCCTAATTAAAAGTTGATTACCATGATTTACGTAAATGTTACAAATTATTAAATATATGTACTATTTAATCCAAATATACATTATAAAAGCTGAATGGTGAACCAATCATTACATATAATCTTGCTTGGATTTATAAGATTATCAAAAGAATTTAACTATTGGTGTACACCGAAAGTGTGGATTAATAATCAAGGTGGCAGTACGTAGTTACAACACTAATAAATCCAAATTACCATGGAGAAACCCCTGGTCGAGGTGATAAATTAGTGACAGCACATATGATTATACTATAAAATAGTTATATGATTATTATATATTATAACTTTGCGAATTAATTAATCGTTACAACTTACAACTTTACAACCTTATTCTCCCTTTCATATGTCGGCAACTTTATAGTTTTTTTTTTGCTAACTTGTAAATATCATTAGAAATGAAAGTTTAGGGTTACAAAAAGTTCCTAAAAAGTAAAGCAATCTTGGCAAAAAAGATAAAAACAAGATTACAGTAATGGGACTTAAGGGAAGCCAAAGAGAGAAAGAAACTTAGCCAAGCCACAGGAGCATCAAGGGCTGCCACCTCTTTCTATGTCTTCTTCCAGAAATAATGTTGCGGACCTCTCTGTCGATAAACTTAAAGATGGTCATGGGCGGGATGCTGATGTTGTTATGCAGAACATTGTTACGTTGGCGCCAGATGTGGTAGACCGACACCTGGACGGCAAGCTTTCGAAGGATAGAAGGTGCCTGAGAAGAGGCGTGTCTAGACCAGGAGAGGAGCTCCGCCCAGCTGAGGAAAGGGCGACTTTGGCGGGATAATCTGCGGAAAACAGCAGACCAGATAACAGCCGCAAAGTCGCAGGAAATGAGGAGATGATCCCTAGACTCAGGCTCCTTTGAACATAAACAACACTCATCTGTGGGAATAACTCCCCAGGCGTGGAGCCTCTGTCTTGTCGGGAGCCTGTTCCAGCAAGTAACCCACATGTTGAAAGCCATCTTCGGGACAGCTCCCTTGAACCAGACCGATTTTGTCCAGCGCTTTGTCTCCTCTCTAGGCCTTAGAGCATCCCAAGTAGAAGAAGAGGAAAAGCCAGAGCACTTAGTCCCATTAACTTCCCAAAAGAAACAGTCTGCGTGAGAGGCCTGGGAAGGCAACCGGATTGTTGTGAGGTGTGAGTGCAGCAGAAGCGCATTGTCAGATCTTGGCGAAGGCAAAAGCCATCCAACTTCAGAACAAGCATCACTCACTTTAGCATCCAAAGGTAGGCGCAGAGATCTGGGACCAGTATTTCCTAAGAACTTAATCAAGGGGCCAAAAGGGGTCCAGCAGTCAAACCAAAAGAAAGCATTATGGCCATTGCCTATCTTAGATTTTAGGAACCTCTCTCCCAAGGGTCTTAGGTTAAGAAGCATTTTCCAAGTCCATTGGTCACCAGTGCTAGCTTCGGCAACTTTATAGTTCACATATATAAATGCGGATTTGTCTATAAGCAGGCATAGTTACAGTGTCAACTTTAGCTAAAGAAGCATTTACATATCTTCAAGGATAACATAGCGAATATAAATAAGTTATTGTCTATGTACTTTGCCACGATTTATAATCTTAATTGTCTTGTACAGTTCTATCCCACAACCAATAATTCATAACAAAAGATTCTCATTTTTTTAAAGATATGATATGGGGGCCATGTAGTGTATCAGGAGACTGTGTAGTCAATAATGTAATAAGGACGTTGACAAAAGAATATAATAGGCCCCGTGAAGAATCAATGAGAGAGATCAACCTTCTAAATATTTAAAGATGCATATAAGTTTTTATTTCTTAAGTAAAATATAAGAAGATGCGTTTATATATCTTTAGAGTGAAGGTTAGCATAATTTTTACGAAAAGATAACAAGAGAACATACCAAAATTATATAGTTTGATTCATATTACGAACTGAATAATAGTTTAGTATGGTCGCCATAGCTGCAATTTTGATGATGGGAAATAATTGTTATCACTAACTCTTTCTAAACTTTCGAGTCTCGTGACTTTTTGTTATGACTAGTAAACCGATATTTACGAGATCTTTAATACCTTAATTTGGTTCTTAAGTCTCGATTGTATATGCTTCTTTCTTACACGAACATATCTAGCCAAGATATATGATTTTATGTCATACAAATGCATATGAAATCTTTAGGTATTGCTACATCATAGTGGCGGTAACGCGTAAGGTGAATAGGTGTACAAAAACCCTAACCAACTATATATGCATTCATAATTTAATGACATTTTTCACACAAAAAAAAAACTAATGACATTTGACGATTTCTACCACAAGTCACAACAAAGATAGAAGACCCTCACAGGGGATGAATATGCGATCCGATAAGAAGATACGGGTTTACAATGCTTTACGTAAATGTTATATAATTCATATCATATAGAAATTATTAGTTGCAGTTGAAGATATGCACAAATATATAATGGTGAGGTTTAATAAGAATTAATCTTAGCCAGTAGCTTGGTATTTGGCAGTATTTTTTTTTGGCTAAACGCAAATATGCTTCTATATATTGTCTCTAGATATGTGTTCTCTTATTAATAATAATAATTATAAGAAACGTCCAGCTGGCCTATTAAATAGCAAGAAATAATCATTATATTTTCTAGTATTAATATAAGTTATCAACAAATTTTACTAAATCAAAAGGTGCGAGTAAACTACAGCACCAAATAAAAATCCCCACAGAGAGAGATTAGAGAATGATGTTGTTTAAATTAGTGCCATGCAGCATATTCTTTGTGGTCCTAAAGTAACTTATCTAATTACAACGTTAAATACTTAAATACTTTATTCTACTTTTTTTTATCTGTCGCTACCAGGTGGCAACTTATTTATCATATAGTTTATATGCGAATATCGTTTGTCGATGAACATACATATTTACCTTTACAGTGTCAACGTTTAGCTGTATGAATCATCAATGTACTTTGCTACTATATTACTGTTTATTATCTTAGTTGCGTTTGCCTGTTCTCTCGCAATAACCCCATACGTAATTTCTAAAAGATAGCTCTCATTTTTTCAAGACATGAAACTGGGCTCATCTATGATCTATGTGCCTCCCCCCCCCCCCCCAAAAAAAAAGAAGGCCCAGGCCTTTTAGTAAACAGGCCCATTTGAGTGACCCGGTAAGGGATATTTCGGTTAGGGTGAAGCTAACTGATTCGATATTTATCGTCGTCACCTTCTACCTGGTTCAGAGGGTTTCTGGATAAGTAATGTCCTAAGTCAAAGTACGGAAGGGTAGAGAGAGTTGAAGAGGTTCTCTCTTTGGTTGAGATGGGACAAAGATTTTGATATTTAAGGTAAGGGAGAAGTTAACAAAAGAGAAAGAAAAAAAAAAGTTTCACAATTTCTTGGTTCATTTGTTTAGGCGTAAGAAAGAGGCCTATCATCAAGTGACCAAAAGGTATTGCTTTCATTTCAAAGTGACGATAACTGGTATAAGGTGAATCTGGGTGCCTAGTCTACCCACTCCGCGTCATTCAAAGCTCTTCTCTTTCCAGCTTCAATTCCGTGATTCCATGGCCATCTCTGTAACGCTTTCCTTACTTTACCAAACCCCCTAAATTTCACATATTTTCGTCTTCTTTCTGAGTCGTCTCCCCTGTATTGTGAGCTGCCGAAGAGTGTCAAGCCCTAATTTTGACCTCAGCCCTAATTTGATCCTGGGTTAAAGTGTGTTTTCTGGTTTCAGAACTCGATTTCTCTCAGAAATTTCCGAGCTTTCTGTTCTGTGTTTGATTCGCATGAGGATTTGAATTGGCAAGGAAATTGAAAATGATGTCAGTTGAGAAATCTTTTGAAGCTTGGGAAGAGGTTCAACGACATGGGCAAGACTTAGCTGATCGACTTGCTCAGGGATTTACGGGTTTGATTCAGATCAGCCCACCTTCGTTTCCATGGCCTCCGAATCATCATCATCTTCACAAGGCCAAACTGTTCGATCTCGAGTTCCCAAGCCAACATTTCAGTATTATTAGGGATTCTAGGTTTGGTATCCACCAACCCATCAACGGTGTCTCAGCAATTCTCGATATTGGGAACAAGATTGGTCAGGCTGGTGTTGATTTCGGTGCTGGATTGAACGTGATGGTTCAGCAATTCTTTAGGAGGTTGCCTTTGCCGATACCGTTCCTGCAGGACGATACTAACAAGCTTGTTGTCTCTGTGGAAAATGATAATAGTACAAGGAGCCATATGGCTTACGTGAACACAAAAGGTGATTTGGGATTGGCTGCAGAACGGTTAAGAGATTCAGGGTTTTCTAAAACAGATGATACTACTTCTGTTACTATGTCTGAGGAGGAAGTTGCTGATTCTTATCTAAGAACGGCTGGATTGCATGGGAGATCAAAGGTACTTGTTTTCTACCGATTTTGAGGGTTCTCCTTCTTCTGTGTTTCACCTGAATTTGTGATTTTATAGCAGTCTATAAATAAATGTTTTGCCTTCAAGTTTGGTATTACTGCATGCATCTCTCTAGATTGAATTGCAATGTAGGATAGCTTATAGAGAATGACGATGCATATCTTTTAGAAATATACGTAGATGCTGGTTTGATCCTGATCTGGTGAGACTAGAATTAGGCTGGTGGTAATGTTACTGTGAATTCGGGAGAAACTAGTGATATTTTGAAGCAAGTTAATTAATAATAAACCTACTGGGAAGTGGGAACTAGAGATGTTTTGTAGCAAACGATGCAAGCTTTGACACTGTGCTTGTGAGTTTTGAGGAATCTTCTCCTTCTTTTTGGCGATGTTTAGTGAAGTTCCTGCAAGAGTGAAAGTTGTTTCTAATGTTTTGCACTCTCTCTGCTTATTGATCTAGTAACTGTATATTTCTCGGGGAATGCAGGGAACAATTGATATGTCATCAAGTTATGACAGTAGGACAAATGGTCTGGAACATTCATTGGCAGCCAGAGGAGAACTCTGGAGGGTAGAAGCTTCACATTCGAGTTCTACTGCAAGCGATGGAAATTCGTCTCTCTTTCTTCTCCAGCTTGGACCACTTCTCTTTCTACGTGATTCAACCCTTCTTTTACCGCTACACTTATCAAAACAACACTTGCTCTGGTATGGATATGATAGGAAGGTATGCTTCAAAAACATTTCCCACTTCAATAACTGTTTTGTCTTTTAGAATTCTATCCTGAAACTCATGTAGTTCTGTTAATTTTTGTGCAGAAAGGTATGCATTCACTCTGCCCAGCTTTATGGTCAAAGCATCGAAGGTGGCTTATGATGTCAATGCTCTCTCTCAATCCTTTAGCTTGCGTAAGCCGCTCTTTCCCTTAAAATGTTGTTATGTTCTTACTTCTGTGGAACTGATTCCCTGAACTTGTCATCTTTGTGCTTTGGACAGTCATTTATGGATTTGCAATTCCCAAACGGGCAATTGACATATGTATCTGGCGAAGGACTGACAATAAGTGGTTTTGTGCCTTTTTGTGGCGGTCTTCTTCAAGCACAAGGCCAATATCCAGGCGACATGAGACTTAGTTACTCTTGTAAGGTTAGATATAGATAAAAACCTGTCATGATCCGTGTGGAGCTTGTTCTCATGAAATTTTAATGTGGTTTTGTAAATCTCTTTGTTTGTGGAACAGAATAAATGCGGAACCCGAATCACACCAATGGTACATTTGCCGGAAAAATCATTTGCGTTTGAACTTTCTCAACCCTTGGCTTGGCGTAGATCCGGACTACTGATGAAACCAACAGTTCAAGTCAGGTAGACAGATTTTTCTTACCCCATTTCCTTCTCAACTGATAAAAGAATTTGTTTTACTGACATAATTCATAAACCGGAGCAGTGTGTGTCCTACGTTTGGTGGAAGCAATCCCGGGATTAAAGCAGAAGTTATTCACTCGTTGAGGGATGACTTGAATCTGATATGTGGCTATGTGCTCAACGCATATCCTTCAGCATTTGCCTCAGTATCTGTAAGCAAACCTTCTTATCTTATGGTTCCCTCAAACTTGATAGTTTCTTCTCTGTATCGTGAACATAACTTCTCCATCGTAAAACTGCAGTTTGGTAGGTCGAAATGGAATGGGAACATTGGACGCACAGGATTAGTTGTTAGAGCTGATACTCCACTTTCAAGTATTGGCCAGCCTTCTTTCTCAGTCCAGCTTAATAACGCTTTCGAGTTCTGAATCTTTCTGCTAATAACATAGAAAGAAGACAGTTCGTGTGTACATATATGTTTGAAAAGACTGCTTTTCCCTTGAGTAACTTTTGTATATATGATGGTAGTTTTACTCAAATTAACTCACAAGTGACAAGTCAGTGTCTCTGTACGTCTGGCAGATATTGTCACCACGTTAAAAAGATTACAGTCTCACATTTGCTTGGTTGCTGCAAGTGCAACCTATCGAAGATGTCACACTTGCATGTTTTTTTGTTTGATCAAGTGTATTAAATTACGCTAATTTATATGTCTAGTGGCCAGTAGGTCACTGACACTTGCAGTTGGATCGTAGGTCATAAAAGACTAACGTTACAAATAATTATTGAAAAGCTTATACAAAAAAAAAATATATATTAAAAGAGTTGGTCCATGACATTAATTCCAAACCTAATTAGAACCCGTGTTTTGTTTTTTGGTTTATTACAATAATTAATCCAATTTGACGAAGTCTTGACCAAAGTAAACTAAAAACTTACTATGCATTTTCTGAATCGTTTGGTTATCAATGGAACGATTTAAAAGTCCGTACACAATATTATAAGAATAGTACGAAATAATTTGTAGACTCGACTCGATCGATGCTTTACCGAGAAATTGTTACGTAAGAAAGTAACGAAAAAAAATTGAATTAAAAAAAGGTTCTATTGAAGAATCTATATATATAAAGTTAATTTTTTCTCTCTTCTCCTTAAGCCACATCATCATCCACCTCATTTTATTATTTAATTTTTAAAATTAATTATATCATTTTATCATTTAATTTTAATATTTAAACCTATGTAAATAAGTTTTTCAAAAATGAATATGAAAGGTCTTTTTTATATTATACATTATAAAACTAAAAAAGATAATTGATTAAAAGTTAAAAGCTTACTAATTATCGATTATACTAACAAATATATAAATAATAGATTATAGTTTTTAGTGAATGTTTAAAATATATATATGATTATATTTACACAATGTAAACCTAAATATAATGGGATTTAACGGGAATAGAGCAAAAAGTAAGAAATTTTGAGAATATAAATCTATCTAATTTATGTCTCAAAAGATTTTCTAACATAAATGAGATAGGTCGGACGGAAACATGAATTCTCATTTTTTATAAACATATAAAAAGGTAAAAATAAAAATAATATTTCTTTAAAAGTTTCCAATATGAATTTAACTATTTTTTTCCAATACAACACATATGTTAAACAAATAAACAAAATAAAAAATTAACTATAGTTCATAAAATTGAAAATTAAAATAAAAAACATTATTAAATGAAATAAACTAAATATAAAGTAAATTATACTAATATGTTAACTAATATGTTAAATTTAAAAATTGTTCCATATGAAAAAACAAAAAAAATATATAAAACATAAAATCAGAAAAAATAATATAATAGTATTTAAATGATCATTACGAGATATAAAGTACGACAAATCCAAAAAAGGAAAACGTAAAACAAAAAATAATAAATTATGACAATATATAAAGAGATACTGTAAACAATTAAAAATATAACAGTCCGCCCGAAACCCACAAATCATGTTCAAATTTCATGCCAACATATAAAAGGACCCAAAATATTAATATCTATATCTATATTTGGTAAAAACCCTAATAGCACACGTTTCTCAATGATTCTCAACCGCACTTACATTTACGCGCACACTTCGACTTATACTATACACACTTAATTTCTCAACAACTAATAAAGCTAAAACTCAATAGTTTTTCTATACAAACACAATTTAAGTTTAAAAAAATTAAAGTATGGTATAGTGAAAAAAATAGAAAATAAAATACAAACTAATTACCCATAAACAACATAATAAACTCTCGCGCGTACCGCAGGCAACCGACTAGTAGACTATAAAGATTGAGAAATTTTTTTTGTTTTTGACATCCGACTATAAAGATTGAGAATTGTTTGACGACTTTTCGTCATTATTAAAATAATGAGTGGTTAATTAATTTGTATTATAAGACTATAAGAGTGGCTTTGACTTGTCTTTTATTCTTTGATCGAAGAAGGTTCAATGAACTAATTAATACGGATGGTTCACAACTAGTAATTTATAATATAACGAAATACGATTAGAAATTTCCTCTCTTGGAAATTCTAAAAGATATAGACAGAAAAGCAAAAAAACAAACATAATTTAAGAGAAAGAAACCAAAATTTGATTTAAATACCATACTTTTAGGAAAGAAAAAACCTTGCACGTTCCAAAATAATATGTGATATACAGAACAACAGTTGACGCAAACAACAACACATTGACTGATATATAATAATTGTGTTTAGATTTTTATGAGTCTTCTTGTGATTTCTCTTCAACTATAACCTCTTTTTTCTTGATAAACAACAAAACTAGAAACTAAGATGAACACTTTTTTTTTTTCTTTCTCTTTTACTGATATATATCATGGTAAGAATATTGGTTTGAATGTAAAAAAAATCTACAAACAAGTAAACAACCCTACATTATTAATTTCCTATCTACTATGTACAACCCATCTTTAAAAATCGCTAGGCACCAGTCGAATATTGGTGGTAGGCCTAGCACTTACTAAGAAAATCGGGGATTAAACAGAATCAAATATTAGTTTTAAAATTATTTTATTAAATAAAAAGTAATAAATATATAGTATTAATTACATATAGAGTTCGATTTCTGTTAATGAAAAATACTATATAACATACAAAACGATAATATTAGTTTCAAAATTGTTATAAATATATGAAAATATATTTTTAAAACCAAATTTATGATTTTCGTTAAATTTTGAAACATAAGTTAATGTAAAACATAGTAAATTCTCAATATAGATATTTAATAACTGACGAAAAGAATTAGATGGATATTAGTTATTAATCAAAATGGATTTAGTGATTATACTGAGAATAATCAGATCTATGGGGGGATTTTTTTGAAGAGGATGTACAACCCAACGTTAACATTCATATGTCATCTAAAAAGTTTTAAAAAAAAAACTCGATAACTCTATATCTTAGTTCGTTGAGGCTATTACCTCATCATGTTTATATCTTATCATAAAATTTTCAAACCTATACGTCTGCTAGAGACGATATATAGTGAAAAGATAAACAAAATAAGAACAATAATGAAAAGGAAAAAACTACTTTAGAACGGAGACACCGCGTGTATCTCACGCGCAACTTAATTTTCTCTCTCAAACCCTTCACGAAAGCTTCCTCCAAAGATCCGCTGCTGCTCACGCCTCTCCGGTGTCCGGCTCAGTCCGGCGCTGTGAGAGGGCTCTCGTCCTTGTAGTTCTCTTGCTGTTTCGTTCGTTGGAGTTTGAAGCAGTCATCGGGTCGTGTTTTGTTCTGAAACGCGGTGAGTGGGAGGACATGATTTCAGATCTGCGCTCCTCCCTCTTTTCTCTGCGATAGTAGTTGCTTCTCTTGGTGGAAGCTCCTCCGTGGAAGATACACCGCTCGATCTACTATCTCCGGCGG